TTTAGGAATCAGTTTAGGAACCTTGTTCTTTGAGACAATAATGTGTTCATGCGTGAACAAAGTTTGTAACATGCAGCTGTATGCATGAATTTCCATCTTCTTTTATAGAGCACCTATACAATCCCTTGGCTCGTAAATAGTACTCATCCAATATTTTTTTCCAAGTGTATAAGATTAATATATCAGGCAGCATGCGGCTAAGGGGTAAAAAAGTGCCATATATCATAAATAACGATGGCAAAGCCATTTTGACTTATTAAGTGCCAGCCAGCGCTGCTTTTTCATCTGCAAAGGGGTTCCCTTTTTACATATATCCATCCTCCTTCACTTCTTCTCTCCGATGTCCTTTGTCAGGCTGTCACTGGGTGTTTGTTGTTGCTGCTGTGTCCCTGCGGGTTGTCGTTCTCCCACATGCAATATTTGTACCCGTAGTACTCCCCGTAGTGTCTCCCCTTTTTCGTACAAACATCTATGCAAATGGCAAGAGAAAGGCAGTCAAAGTGGTTTCTGACTCTGCGTCTGGCGTCTGACGGCTGGTTCGTTCTGTGGGTGCTTGTGCCACATCCATCATGTGTTCTCCTGAGTCCTGCGTCCTGCGTCCTGTGTGTGTCCCCTGCCAAGTGATGCATTCAATTTGTCATTAGTGCCACGACCACCTAAGCTAATGCACCTTCATGGGCGAACAGTTTTTAGGGATAAACGAAGGGGATACCCTTTGGTATGAGGATTGAAGGGGGCTTTAACTCTAGGACAGGTGCGCACAGAGATGTGATCCCAGTGTGAGTCTTTGCACACTAGTAAGTTTTGTGGAATCCATGAAAGCCCCTGAGTGATGTTAAGGATTTTATATTTGTATCTTTTCGATTCGGTTTTCAATCGATTCCGCGGGCAAGCGGTACCACTTCTTGGGGGCTCTGAAATCCACTCAACGTAATATTTCAATAATTAATTATTTGTTGTTTTATTTGTTAGCAAAAACTATATTTAATGGATATCCCAAATGTTCTTATGTTTCTCTCTCTTCAATCAGGTATACCCCACCATCTAATAGTCATTCCAACTGAAAGCTAACTTAATCCTAAGGCATCCAACTAATTCAATGCTGACGCTGGAACTTGTTTACGCCGTTTAGAGCCCCCCACATGGCGTGGGCGTGGGAGTGGGCGTTGGTGTGGGCTTCGGCGTGGGCATGGACTCCTTCCTGATGACGTCGATCTCCCACCACCCCCCACACATACAAACACACACATCGATAGATACCATTTGAAATATATACTTCTTTGCCTGCTTACCATTTTTCTTTTTTGTCGCCTGGCAGGTCTCCCCGAGTGGCAGAGGGGCAGGAGGGCAAGGGAATGTGTCTTCTGGGGACATTTCTCTTTTGCCAGCTTGCAAATGTATGCAAGAAACGTTTGTCGTATCGTAATACTTTCCCCCCTGAGCATTGATTGACGTAGAAATCAAAAGTTGACTAAAGGAAAATGCAGCTCAAGTGGAATGAAATCAGGGATGAGCCACAATCTGCTGGCTGGTGGGTAAAAATCTGATTACATTTCTAGGAAAAAAAAAACGGCAATATCTACGTCGCAACAGACTGTCGAAGGGCTGGGAGGTTCCCTCTGCATTTCGGCCTTGCGAATGAACCAACTAATTGACAAACGCCTCTGTGCCTCTGTGCCTCTGGGGCTCTGTGTTTGTGTATGTCGTAGGACTAGGTCTGAATGGTCTGGTCTGGGCGGTGATAGCCCTTATAGCCAGCCTGAAAATCAGGTTACACGAGTGCGGAGAAACCAGTGCTTTTCAATTGCATGATGTTGTTCTGTCCTCGGAACTGCTTCCTAATTAGTGTTTATTGTTTTCCATCTGGACCAAAAGGTGTGGGCTAATTGCGATTATCGCTGAATGCGTGGGTGGGTTTGGTTTCCTGTGGGTGGGGCTGCTTTTGAGTCTGTGGGAAACTGGAATACGTACAAATTGAATGCTCTCCTGGTATTTTATGTAATAGCCAGAAATATAATAATATATAACAATAGTAGCCAAATACAGCCGAACCTTTTGAGCTCTAAGTTCAACAAATTGTCAAAGATAAAACCGTAAACATTTTATTCTTGTAGCCAGCAATAAGTCATCTCAAAGAAGTTCTTTCATACATAAATTATTCAATAATCCATCCCCAGATTAGACTTACCTCTCAATCAATTCGGGAAACTTCCTTATCTCAATTTATTACTTAAACTTCTCCTGTTATCACTTTAAGCAACGCGACAGACCGTTCTAGTTTCTGTTTTCTTTTTTGCTATTTATATTTGTTTTTTTTTTATGGAGCTCAAGGAGCAATCAAACCGAAATCCTTGAGGGTCGAGCAGCAATTGAAGCGTAATTATTTGCTACGGCGCATTTCCCGTGTGGCGTGGCGTGGCGTTGTCGTCGTCGCTGCTCAAATGGCCAGAACGGAGGCCGGCCGGACGGACCGATGGACACCGGAAAGCGGGCCAAAAGCGTAACGTAACGTTAGTTGGCACTGGGTCAGTAGAGCAGCGGGATATTGGTTGTTGTTGCTGTTCGTTGCTGCTGTTTTTGTTATTGGTATTTTCCTGTTGTCTGAGCCAAGTAATCAGAATAATTACATGGCCCTAATGGCAACAGGGAACTTGCTCATTTTACAGTTGCAAATAAATTGCTTGGCGCTTGGAGGGACAGAGGCAGAGACAGGCCTGGTTTTATAAGCAAATTGCGTGTTCATTGCTCAAGGTCGTAGGTAGAGGATATTTGCGGACAAATTTTCTACTCTCTAGTTTTTTTTCGATTAGTTTTTTTTTTTTTTGTTGCCTACTCAACTAAATAATAGTAAAAACAGGACATGAAAGCCGGTTTTGGGGTAACAAGCATTTGATACCCTCTTAGATGAAGAAGGGTTTCTATGGTATGTACATAAATATGTTATCTACTAATACAAAAAAAATAAAAATTTGTTTTCGAAATTTTTATTTTTTTTACCGATATGCTAATCCGATGTAGATTCTGTTTAGCAGCATTGTTTATCTGTTTATAAAGATGCACTTTTCAGCACTTTATGTCTTTCAACTGTTGTATGTATGTGTATTATACAGATTCTTTTGGTCGAATTATGTTTAGAAATATACAAGTTTCCATAAATTTGACCAATTTGATCTGAGTTCGGATTGCAACAGGCAAAAAGAAGGCCTATTGTGAGGCAGGGAAGGAACATTTTTTGACCAAAAAAAGACAGCCACATCTGCCGTTACAAACATCTCCAAATCAAATATACACCCTGCTGTAGAGTTTCACAAAATGACCCAAAATATACAATCAAAACACCGTCTGAGACTAGAGATGGTTGCGGGAGTGAAAGCAGAGCTGGCGCCTCACGGACACTCACGCATCGCTGCTTCACTTGTTGCTAGACTATGTGGAAAACCACGAAGTGTACTTGGAAAATGTCGCCTAACAAGAACACTTTGTTTATCAGAGCTTGGGTGAAAACGTTCTTGCATAAATTCTTTTAAAATTCTCACGATTCAGTAACAATATACGGTCTAAAGCCACATCTCTAGGAAGGACAGGACGGACACCATATGCCGGCAAACCAACACAAGCGCAGAAACAAACCTTAACAACACAAAATTAACCCACACCACCGCACGGCGTTTAACACAAAAAGTTATCAATAAATACGGATTACAATTCGAATATGTAGCGTGCCGGCAAATATTTACGTGCTTAAGTCGCGTGGACGAAGTTGATGCGCGGGCAAAACAGCTTTGGTATCCACTCCCCCACAGACTGCGCACCGACTCCTTTTGCATGGCGCGCATGAACTCCTCGCCCCGGCAGATGTGTGTATAGGCCTTTGTATACCCTATTTCGTTAATTTAATATGAAGATTCAGTTTTCCAAACTGTTTTTGAAACGTAATTAACAAAGGAATTTTCTCAAATTGATATGTTTTAGACATTTTCATGCATTTGATTATTGTCTCGTGTTTATATACATCCTTATACCTATTCTTGGTCCCTGTAAGGTGACAATATGCTGCAAAATATCGTTGAAATAGGTTTAAAACAGAGACTAAGTTGTTTTTGCCTTATTTGGAGCTTGGGATGACAAACAGTTTCTCAATTCTATAATATCCATTTCCCCCAGGGCATGCAAAATGTTGCTAAATCCGCGTCAACATTTTTTCTGCCGTGTTGCGGGCAACATTAACTTGTAAACTGTGTTTTAGTCAAAATAATACATAATAAACAATACATAAAAGTAATTAAAAGGACAATGCTGCTCGATTTCTCGGCACATGAGAGGAAATCCCAAAAGATTCCTGGAATAAAACATCGACGAGGTGAGGTTCGTACGAGCCTTGCAATTTTCCTTGCCTGTTTTTGCCAGTTGTCCATACCCCTATTTATAGCCCATGTACAATATTGGCTCATTTTTGCGTTCCAGGAGAGAGCAACCTGTGTGAGTGTATGAGTTTCAAAATATTTGGTAAGTCCCTAAATATACTAATGTAAAAACCCCCATTTTTTGTTGAAAGCTGAAAATAATGGGAGGATATGCGGATTTTGACGCCTCACACATGCTTATGTATTCTGCCAGCGTTTATTTCGATATATCGATTGTTGTTCAAATCAATTCAAATTGTAATCTGGCGCCCACGCTTAAAACTTACTTTTCTGTATGAACACATGCAAACACTTGCAAACAATTTATTCACAATCATTTTTGTGCTCCAAACCACTACAAATAGCACACGGAACACGTCCAATATTATATTTTGAATTTATGGTTATTTTTAATGCCGATAAGTTCCTCTTATCGCACAAAACTACCGATAGAATATTACCCTATATATGTCGCCAGTCCAGTACGACGAAAAATATGTATCGATGTATTATCAAAATATTTATCATCCCTACGAAGATAGCTAAATTTTTATGTTGCTTTTTCCATAAAATTTGTTTGAATTTTAACCAATAAAACGTGTAGTTTTCTACTATCACAAGCGACAATCGGTGAGAAAATGTTCGGCGGCAATGAGATGATTTACGTTTAAGCGCAAAGGTGCGGTGAAAACGCGTGGGCGAAGAAAATTGTGGGGTGAAAAAAAGTGCGCGTGTGGAGTGAAGAATACAACGCTGAAAAGTAGCCGCTGCGCTGCGCCTGCTTCCTGCTGCCTGGTCTGGACAGACCAGACCCCCTCGTGAACGAAACGTTGTAAACAATTGTATTTGCGTGATTTTCCACCACCATCCACCCTCATATATCGTGTTACAGTGTAATGTGCTGAGTGCTAGAGCAAGTAATATGGCCCAATTGAGCGCAAACGAACCCTTTGACGATGAGCTCTTTGAGACGCGCCTAGAGGCGCTGAAGGACACACAGGAGGGCATACAGCAGATGTCGAATTGGTGCCTGCAGCACCGCCTCAACCATAAGAAGATCATCCAGTCCTGGCTCAACGTTTTCAAAAGAGGTAAGGCACTGCTGTCGCGCATATTTAATGCCGGAGTCAGAACTTATTCTGTTGTGCTTTTAGTGCGTGTGGATCATCGATTGGTGCTCTTCTATCTGGCCAACGATGTCATACAATATAGCAAGCGGAAGCGATACGAATTCGTGGAATGCTGGGCCACAGCCCTCCAAAGAGCCACCACCATGGTGCGGTAAGTCATCAGAAATCCCCCTTAAAAGTCACTCGATACTAATATCTCTTCTCTTGGCAGAGATGAACGTGTCAAGGATAAGATATTGCGCATCTTTAAGATCTGGGAACAGCGTGAAATCTACAATGAGGAATATCTGAGCGATCTCAGCGGTCTGCTCAACATTACACCGCCAAAGAAATCGCAAATTGATGCCAGCGACGAGTTCCAGAATGCCACACTCATTGCCCAGGTGCGCGAGTGCGTGGAACTGGCGGAGGCCACCGACAAGAGCATGAAGAAGCTGCCGAAGCCACCGCATCTAGAGATCGAGACCATCAAGCAGCAGCTCAAGGACAAGAGCCACTCGGGGGACATTGAAAAGGAAGTGGAACGCTGTGTGGCCTTTATAAATGCCTACAACAAGAATTTGCAAAACGAAATCAAGAGCCGCAAGGCAGTGCTTGCCAGCGTGGAGGCGGCTAAAAAGTTTTACGAGCATCAAGGCAGAGAGGTCAAAGTGGTGGCCAGTGTAAGTCCCTATAATAATGCTGATCGATCTCTCTCTCTGTAGCATTTTTCTGTCACTCATCTTAGGCCTATAAAAGTTTCGGCACACGCATAAAGATTGTGAAAAGGAAGCTGGATGAGACCATACCCACGCTGCAAAGTCCCATACCATCGCCGGACATAAATGCGCCATCGCCCGAGCGTGATGCAGATCTCCAGCTGCCCGACGAGACAAGTCCGCCATTGGGAATGGTAAGGAAACCGAAAGGAACTGAGCAGATGGGAGGATTTTATTTATTTCCAATTGTAGAACATGTTCAGCGGCGGATTGAATGGTTTCTCCAGCTATTTGGACAGCGGCAAGCTCCCTTTCGACATCAATGACTTCAAGCGGGACTCGAAGGATCTGGGAAGCGCCATCGAGGTAATTGGCTCGCGTTCGGATGATGAGGCCTATGCGCCGAGCGCCAATTTCTACAAACCAGAGCCCCTCTCCAGCTACAGCAACAACAACAGCAGCGGCAGCGCTGGCGGTAGCAACAACAGCTCCATACCTGGCCTTGGTGGAGGAGTAGGAGGCGGCGGCGGCGGCGGGTCTGGTGGTGGCGGGGAATACAATCCCAATCATTCGCAGTTTGACAGTCCATTGGCACCGTCTGCGATTTTTGGTTCCAACAACCAGGAACAGTATGTGCCTCCGCTGCCCTCGCATCATGGCTATGGGGGAAATAGTGGCGGCGGTCAGGATGCACAATATACACCCGCTCCAATGCCTCCACCCCCATTGCCACCATCCATTGGCTCGTCTGGCGGCGGCGGCGGCGGCGGAAATGGAGGAGATGACTTCAACAGCACCTGGAACATGAGCATGTCGTGGACGCCGCTGGACACCAGTTTAAATAGCAGCGGTGCCAGTTCCTCCGCCTATAATCCGCAGTCCACGCCGCATTCACCGCCCCATTTCGAGCGCAAGGCCAGTGTCGCCCCGCCAGAGTACAGCGAGCATTTGCACAATAATGCCGCAGCACTGGGCGCCGAGGATGTGGATCATCGCACGCTCCAGCTGCCGCCGGCCTTTAATTTCGGGGCAAAGCTGGGTCTCAGCCAGGACAAGACACGCCAGCTGGTAGATATTGATCATAGGAATCTTATATCCCTCACTGGTTCCCCTGGCGGTGCAGATAAGGTAGTCGACTCACTGGCGCATAGATCATAGAATTTCCTGTCATAAATGTCATATTTTTAGGATTTTGGTGGTGGTGGTGGGGATGTGGACTATCGCATTGTGCCAGGCTCTGCTGATGAGGGCATCATGGCTCCGCCTGGCAATAGCTATGCCAAGACCAAGACCAGCTCTCCGCACAAATCCAATGCGAGTAAGTAGTTGGAAACGTCTTTTGGAAATTTCCAATCCATAATGCAAATTATCTTGCAGGCTCTTCATCGGAATCCGATCGTTTAGATGGCGGTACACGCTATGATCCTGCAGATATGGTCATAGATATGGACATGTCGGACGATGATATCGATGAGTCGCAGCGAGGTAGTCGGGTTTTCTTTGTTTTCTATATTTTTAAGAAATTTGTTGAACTTTTCGCCAATTTTCTCAATTTAGAACCCAAGGAGGAACTGGAGGAGGCTGAAGCGGATGCCAATGGTGGTTTGACGCCATCGCGTCCTGTACTTTTGGAAACCCCCACAGATTTCATGAATCCCTGGGAGTCGAACAACAGTTTTCTGGGCCAGCCAATGCAGGATATGTCCGGGGAGCAGGACCAGCAGCAGCAGCATTCACCGCTTGGCCAGCAGCAGCAGCAACCATGGAATCAAATGCCTCAAATGCATATAGGAGCGGGAGCACCGCCGCCGCCGCAACCGCCGTATGGAGCTCCCTTTCCGTATCAGCGTTACGGGCCACCCATGAACAGTCCGGACAACATGCAGCAGCGTGGCCGTGGACGAGGTCGCGGCTGGTCGAACCAGGGACCGTATCCAAGAGCACCCTATCAGCGGCCGCCTGGACCTTACGATGGTGGACCCGGACCTGGGCCACGACCGTTCTATGCACGTGGTGGCGGTGGTGGGCCTGGAGGCGGCGGCAGCATCGGTGGTCAGATGCGTGGACGTGGGCGCATGCGTGGTAAAGCTTGGATGTAATTACGTTACGTATTATATAACTACACAGACAACAGACAAAAGAAAGCACGTGCGACCGCTGTGCACACCTTGCTCTGCTTCGCCTTCGTCTTTGCCCAGAATAGGTTTTAGTTTGTAGTTCTCTCTCACTTATCTCAGCTCGATTTAGTTTAACACCGACGTAAATTGTACAGAACAAACCCCAAAAGCAACCTAAGCCCGGGAGGGCGGCCAATATAAACCCAATATATATCGTGTGTCTATATACATATATATATAAAGACGATTGATCGTTTGCTAATTGATAAGACGGTTATACAGATTTTAAATTATTGCAATTCAACCATATAAAAGTGTTTAAGAAACTGTGAAACAACATTTTACTCTTAAGATTTAAGATTTCTTCCACGTCTCTTTGGACCTATCGACCTATTGAAAGCAATTTTAATCTGCAATACTTGATAGATTTCTCGTTAAAGTTTAAATAAAAATGATATGGGAGGAGCTCCATTGAGTGATTTAATTATGTGCAAAATAAGCTGATCTGGATCTGAGTCACCACCCCATCCTTCCCATCAGTGGACCTCTTTTCCGGGAGACTTTCAGACATAACGAAACCCATATGCAAAGACTTTTAAAACCACACACATATTTTACAATTAACCTTTAAGTTTAGAGCGTTGCCTTAGCTTCTATATATGTATTTATATCGTTTGCTATCAATTTAGTTAAATGCGCCATTGCTTCTTAATTCTTAAGTCCCCCCTAAGTACACTGTAAATAGTTGTATAATTAGTCCAAAAACAATACTGAATTCTTAACTTTGGGTCAAAGCCACAGTTGTGTATGCTATGCTCTTCACTAAATGTTTATCGTAATAATATTCATAATGGTATATGCATATATATTTCACATTAATGTTTGATCATGAAAATCAACACACAAAAACAAAAGTAAAAAAAAAATTGATATCGTTAAAAGAAATTGCAATAAAGTTTGATTTCTTTACTTAAATATTCACTGGAAACGGTGCTAGGACCCATAAACGAACTACATTTTGCAGGACCCGACTTTACTTACTTCAGAACCCTTTTGACTGATTTTGGATCAATGTTCAAGCGTTACTTTTAGTCAATTTCATATTTAAAGTTTTTATTTGATTATTTTTTGTCGATGTGATCGAAAAATATCCAAACTAAAGGTTTAAATATATTTTTCTAAGGCTCCCTTTTTGGTCTTTAATTGATACATGATTGACCTTTAAGAACTACGACTGAAGATTTCACAGATTACAACTTTTCAGATAGGTTTTTGTTGTTTAATCGAGTTGCGACAGAATCCTTTAATAAATATCAAAAAACGACTGATATCTAATTCATGATGACCTTAGACGTTGAATACTAAAAACTTAAAGTATTTACTTATTTAATACCTTCTTTGAGTACAATCGAATCTCTATTGGACTGATACCCTATACTTCTTTACTTTCTTGTCAAGAACATAGATTCTTGATTAGCGATCATCAAATTTGGAAATTCCAATCAATTATTTCATAATACCCGCAAAGACTGAAACTAATTTGTATAGCCCATTTTAAACTATGAACCTCAAACTAGATCCTAAATCGAGAATCTAAACTCATTAAAAAGGTATTAGATATGATCTTTAAACTTAGGTTCTAACTTTAATTAAAAACTTAAAGAAATGTGCATGATTTTTACGGAAAGTGTCTGTACATAAGCTCTAAACTAAATTTTTTAATCTCAAAACCTTAGTGAAGAGCATTCCATATACATATAAGAGTTCCTTTTGGACCTTAGAATTACGAACATAGTTATAGATATTATAGTTATAGTTGAAGTAAATGTTGAGTATTTAGTTGTATAAATACAAAAGTCAATGTGATATTCGAAAATTGAAACGATATATTTGTATCCTTTTCTTCGGCTTTTTATTGTTTTAGAGTTCATAGAGCGGTGGCTTAGTGACGGGAAACACAAACAGTTCCCATAGTTCGCATAGCATTTACAAATGACTATGTTTAAATCAATTGATATTTGGTCGGTATCCTGCCAAAGGATCTAAGGCAGCGCTAGGGTCCTGTTTAAGGATCACTGTTTACCTGTTGACGTTTGCGACTCTTAATCACTTCTGTTTGGAGGTCCGGCCCCTCTCTCGCTCTATCTTCTGTCGTGTCGGAAGTCGGAACTCATTAATCGTGTGCTGGTAAGTGATGTTTTGACCTTTTCGTATGGTTAGTTTAGTGGGTGTGGCACACTCCGCTACTAAGCCGTGCCGCCTGAGAGCTCTCAGGAATAACTAGGATACGCTCCTTGAGAGACGGGTTGTCTGTCGGTGATTTGATAGAATAGAGGATAAAGTGTGGCGAATGTTAACAAATGTTGCAAGACCGATGCGATCGCAAAGGATATGTCAATATACATACGAGTATACAATGGCTATAGGTTTTCCCCATGCCGATCTGAGGGTAAATCAAATGTAAAGGCAAAAATCAAAACAATCGGATAAGGAACCGAGATAACCTATCCAAAAATACAACCAGTATTTATCCTATTTCTCCCACAGATTGACCAAGGATTATTTTTATAAAAATAATGTACATACATAATTTTAAAAAAGACTACACTGCACTCCACTATTACTATTTAATGATTCCGTTATACACTTGTTTTTATATTGTATTTCTCGTATGTTCTTGTTTTCATAATAAGTTATATTTAAGTTAAAAGTAACATGTTATCAAGTTAGTAATTAATTGTGGCTTGTGCCACGTTTTAAACTTATTGTTTGTTATTCTTCTTTTGCGATGACAACAGCGCCTGTAGTTCATTCCATCTTTTCGACTAGGAGATCGGTGGAGTACAGGCACACGGGATTGGTGAACATTTTTTAAAGAATTTAAAATACTGAAGCACCCCTTGGTAAATTTGTAACATCTGAACGAAGATATCTTCATAAAATGAACTGAACTTGAAAAGGCAATCTTCCAAAAGGTTGTCTGCACATGAACACGATGCTACGATGTCTAGAAGAACGATCAAAATATGATTTTATATGGGATTTTATACCGTTTTTCGTGCAAGGATATGGCACTTAAATCTTGATAGGAGCCGATCCGATCCGAAATGCAGAATTCGCTTTTGAAAGAACACATACAAACCAAATCTCGGGTAAATGTAGGGCATATTTTTGTTAAGTCAAAGTTGAAAAACAGGCCAAAAATTAAATGGTTTGGAAGATATTTTTTTTTTTTGGCACTGTATAGGAAAGGGACTAGTATTTTTTAGTGTTGATCAGAACTATTCGTTATGTAGTCTACAGTTTATTCTCCTTAACTAAAATTCAGATTATTTTTGAAAATAATTGATCAATTATTGAAAGCTCTGGAATATTATCTATTAGACTTTTGCCACCTCTTTTCGACTGAGGCTCCACTGTGCGGTGACAATGACGATCCAAATAAATTGTATATAATAGAGAGATTAACTTGAAATTTGTACGTAGTTTTTATTATAAGGAATCTTTGAATTTTCGACACATTTTTGGTGCACATGACCATTCAAATTTCGAAAAATCCAAACTCCTTTAAAAACTGTACCTTCAAAGTCGTGTCAATTTTCAATTATTAATTTTTTATTAGCCAGCGCTCTAAAATTATAACTAAAATAAAATAAAAATAGTAAACGATCCTTAAAACTAACAGCCTTTATAAGTTTACACTAGGTTCAAATTGTTGCTACAACACTATCCCATCCCATTCCATCCGTAGAAGGATTTCTCTTGAAGAAAGATCAATAGTCTCTTGAGAGCAGCGTGACCAGATCCCCGATATATGCCTGGGCCATTTGTAGCGTTTCGTATTTTGAGAGTCGTCGATCGTGTCCCAGAGATGGAACCACATCCCGCAGCTTGTCGAAGGCATCATTCAGGCTATTCATCCGACGGCGTTCCCGTGCATTCGCCGCCAAGCGACGCTTCTTAAGGACAGCCCCACTGCACACAGGAGACGAAGAAGATGATGATGATGAGGAGGATAATGATGAGGAGATGGAAGTGGAGAGCTTGCTTCCGTGTTGCTGATGCTGCTGCTTGGTCCAATAATTGGAACTCCTTTGCTGGCATTTGCCCAAAGAATTCGCTTGATTCTGCTGATGCTGGTGCTCCTCGGCCTGGACAGAGAGCATGTGCTCTAGTCCCAGGACAGCAGGGGTGTCATAGTACAGCTGCTCCATGGAACAACTGTTGGTCTCATCCGAGAGACTGTCGCCGCTGCCACAGAGCTCCTGTTGGTACATGAACTGCTCCAACTGCTGAAAGGCATCCATGCCTTGAACTTGGACATGGGAATCCAAATCCGTATGGGATTCGCTTGGGTAGTAGAACTGCTCGATCAGATCGTTGTTGGTCAACATGTTGAAGGCCGAAGGATAACTGAACAGACTGGGCTAGTCATACATCTTTATATAGCTGGGCAGAGTCGCTGGATCCGCTGCCCTTTTATGATTGGCTTAGGTTCTGGTTCAGGTAAACCTCCTGCTACCTGATTCGCTGTCCTGGCCTGATCCTCTTTTACCTGTAAGCAATCGGCAGAAAGCAGCTCAGTCCCAGAGCCAGAGCGAGAGCCCGTGCCCCAAATTGGCTTGCGGTCAAAAACGTTTAATTGCCCCTCGTCTACCTCCGATCGGATCGGATCGGATCAGGTCTAGATGGACACTCCTCGAGTGGCCTTTGCCGCTGCTTTGTTTGACCTGTCATTTGGCTACCGTCCGGTAATCATACCTCTCTTTTGTAAACTGAAATTGACGTTTTATAGTCCAAACAATTGTTGCCAAGGTCAAAATGCCAGCGCAAAATGTACAGCAGCAGACAGTGAGATCAGAGCAGAGCAGAGCAGAGCATGGCTCCCAATGTGGGAATTATTTCCATAATTTTCGCATCGATCGGCTCGGTCTGCTGCCACTCCACCCTATATATATATGTATATATATATCCACATCCATATCTCCAGCTCCATTGCATGTCTGTGGTCTAGTAAGTGGTCGTTCCGTTTTGGCTTTCCAGCAGAACAAAGAAAAAGAATTTCGATGTGCGATGTGCGGTTTGCAACTTTCGATTTTAGTCGATTGTACTTTTATTATTGGGTCAAACGTAAATATCTTGCAAGTGGCTGACTGGCTGGGGCTTTCGCTGGAGGCCTCGAGGTGAGGCCTCCTTTCACATGAACGGAGTTTGCGGGTAGGTGTCAAGAAGTTTTCAAGTCTGCCACAAAGTCTGTTCTGCAGAATGCGCAATGTACATATCAACCCGAGAGGACTGACACTTTTGGAGACATTTTAGAAAAAATTTCACATAAGAAAAGTACTCAGAGAACTCTTTCATTTCATTTCATCATAGCATTAGTACGCGGGGATCACAAGGCAAGAACGCAAACCACCTCCCACTCAACCGGTCAAGGGGATCTGCCGCCTGACGAACCGCCTAATAGACTAATATTCGAGGAAAATTAGACCTAAGCCGAACTAAAAGAACTAAGAATGCATTCAACATACAAATACAATTTCTAATTACAAGAAAGGTACATACATGTATGTGATTATGAGTAATTTAAGAAGAGGAAGGAAGAATTAGTCGTGGAAATAATATGATAGATAGAATTATGGTCCGAGCACAAGATCCTAAGCGGTTCATTTAAGGAATTAGTCGATCTAGAAAGAAAAAGGAACAACGGTATATATTTTCTAGAGGATCTAATAGAAATCCTGAAGCTTATGCGGCTCAAACCTTGATCAAGTTGTGTACAAAAAATACAGCAAGCATTTTTCTTTTCATTTAAGAGAACCACCACATAGGGTGGGTTATAAAGAACCAACAGAGGGGCTAGATCGATACCCAATTTGTGTGGCAGGCCCTTCACTAAATTGTATCGATCTCTGAAATGTTTTGTATTTGAATTAAGTCTTTTAGATATATTCAGTCATGATTATTTTCCAAACCCATATTTTTTAATGAGCAACAACTACTAAGGCCGTTAGATCGCAGAGTGTATAGCCGGTACTCAAAAGGTACTCTACTCTTACCACATTTACCATTTAAATCGCTCTACTTTCCACACCGTAATCAGACCTCGGGTCAGTCCGGCTCAAGCCCACTTTCAAGTGGCCGCAGCGAAAGGTTAATTAACTCAGAGCCACAGATGCACTCCACCCATCAAAAGAGGAAAATCAATTCAAACAGTTCGCTGAATTTCTATAGAAAACGGCCAAAACAATTGGGCAAACACTGGCTGAGGAGAAGCGCCAGGCATGGCTAAATTGTACAAATGATGGACCAGTGCATGGACCCAGATATTTCACACAAATTGTCAAGAACAAAGCCGAGGGTGTGGGGGAGCTATGCCGACAAAAGGATCCGACGTTTGATCTTAACGCTGGCCACTGACCATGATGATGATCGCTGATGGATCTGATCGATTGACTTTGTCAAGAGTGCCACGCGACCGCAGCTTAGTAGCAGATCCCGGTTCCCGATCCCAATCCCAGCTCAAGCATTATGCTGCAATATTCGGGAGAAAGGTTCGCGGATAGTCTAAAGATCGTCAACGCCCATGAAGATCCAGATGATCCTGGCATTTCCTATTAGCATTTTGCGTGGACTACCTGAGAGGCATGCTCTTCTTTTCGGCTGTCAAAATAGCAACAATAGGTAGTAGTAAATGGTGGGCGGTTCTGGTTGAAAGTGGGAAACCTCTCTCTCTCTCTATCTCAAAGTCTATTCTTGCGCCAACAATAGGTCACCTGATGATAATCCTCTAGTCCGTCTGTTGGTTGCGTGTTTCATCTGGTTTGCTGTTCTTCTCTTCTCAGATTAATCGTTTTCGTTTTGCGGATTAGATGTTGGCGCTAAATTGCGAAAATACGATTAGAGGTGAGGTTCCAAAGTCAAGAGGAATTCCATGGGAACTTGTTGATCCTTCTTTGTTATAGAATCCCAAGACAATGGGATCGATCTGTGGCTTCTTTTTTTCCATTGTATTACCTCATGGAGAACCCATTCCATAGATTTCTGAGCCAAATTACCATGTAATAATCTGGAATTATGAATTATTATATTCGACTATTTGTTTGTTTCCAAGTAAATTTTGTTGTGGTCACCCAGATGTGCATCCAGACTGCATGTCGGGACTGGGATTTAAAGAGTGGAGTGCTCTTTGGGAGTGGAGTGGTACTCGTATAGAGAAAGGTACATTTGTATGGTAATTTTCTTGGCTCAAAGCAGGCGACAATTTCAACAAAACTCATGCCATAACTTAGGTCCAGTCCTACCCCCGACTCCTGGGGGTAACCCTTAGACCCTCGCCCTCAACCCCTAGGTATAACCAACAAACAAAAAACTTGTCCGTTAGGCTGCCTCCCGATAGCGCCCCTGGAAAGTGTCAGGCAATTGCGTTCGTTTATGAGAATTTATTGACACTCGAGCGGTATCACGGGCTAACACAAACAGATCCTTGATCCTTGAAGGGCTGTCCGTGTGCGTGCTTGTGTGCAGGTAATCAGTGCAGGGGTGTGCCCCGCCGACCTTCCTTGATGAGTATCATAAATTGTCATCACATAAATAGTGCAACAACAGGATCGAGAGCGCATCGTGGTGACATTTATGACTCTATTGCCTCGACTGCTGTTGCGTGGCTCCTGCTGCTGGGCAATCAGTGTCCCATTTTACACGCGACGACCCAGATCCGATCCCATATCTTAATAACCATTTAATGGTAGCGGTAAACGATGCACAAACAAAGTTCAAAGCGGATAAGAACTGCCTTCTCCGAACGGAAAGTGTTAATGGATGCAGTGATAAGGGAGTGCGAGCTGGAAGTAGGCATGTTCCAAATATCGTTGCAAACTCCGTTCCATTGATGAAAACAAGAAAAAACACTCCACTCAAAATACATATGTGGAGATCAAATTGGACTATATGCAACGGAAGTCTTATATGTCTTACAGAAATCGTGTTGGGAAAATAGAATACCTATTTCGACACGATTTGATCAAATATGCAAAATTTATTATAGAAATATGTTCATTTCCCACGAAAATTTCACCTAGGCCAAAAGCTTGGAATAGAATAGAATAGCTTTACTGTGGAGTCAAACAGATCTGCGATAATCGAGGGTTCCGTTGGTTCGGGGGTCCCAAAAAATGATCTTTGGAAAGCAGCCCACGCCTCGTTAATAAATATATTAATATACTAATTAATATATTAATATTTATATATATACAAATAAATTGTTTCGATTTCTGAAATGTTTTCTGTTTGAATTAGCACTAACTCAGAGCCAAAGATCCCTTGGATCCCACTGCAAAACTACGAACAGTGCATCAGCTTTATAGCCCGCATACAACTGAGGCAGACGGAAAAAATATCACCAAAAATAACGATCACTCAATTATGTACATAAATAATTATAGCTAATATTTTATTTAGATTATTGAAAAGAACTGAATACATTGAACGCTATGATCGATAATAGTTTTGTAAAGCGGGGAAGGGAAAGGTGTAGGTAGTCTCACAGTTAAACGCTTCCAAAAAGTAGCACACACACACACACCCAAATACATTTATCTAAAATAACAATCCATCAAAGTCCAAAACGAACTGTGAGCACCCTTTCATTCCCTTCCCCATTTAGTAGTTATCACTAGGTGCATAATGAAATCTTTATGATTATAGCCACAATCTCGCGGCTGTGGCTCTCTAATACTTTTTTTTTTGCCTTTCGCGTATCTATTTGACATGTAGTAGTAGAAGTAGAATTAGTATTTGTATTAGATAGTATATAACTCTTGAATCACAAAAATGTTAATATCGGGGTGGGGTTCGATTAGGAGGTGGATGAATGCAGGTTAAAACATGATACGTCTTGTCATAAAATTATATATAGTTCGCTGATATGATGATTGATTTTGATTCTGATCTCATGTGTGCCAGAGTGCTAGATGAGCGAATACACTATGTTATACGATTGCTGCTAAAGCTTCAAACCCACATGGAGACACACAATAAGTGATAAATCGCCAGCTGCATATCAGCGACAGAGACAGCCCAGAGACAGATCCAAGGACAGTTGGGAGGGGGGTAGGGAGGGACAAGAGAACGGCAGCCGGCGTGTCGTCTAAATTGGTTCATTCCGGTTGCTTTGTTTATCACTTATGGAAATGCTTGCTACTCGCCTAGAGCCCAGAGAGCCTAGAGCGTTGTTGAGGTCACCGTACTGACGCCATGTACCAGAATTGTGGGCGGCAAATCGGCCGTCAGCTCCGTCAGCAGCTCCACATAGCTGGCACTGCGTTCCGCAAAATCTGTTGCCGAGAGCTTTGGTGGCGCTGCCAGATAGATGAACGATAGCGCCGTCTGATCCGAACGATCGCGTATAATTTGATTTGCCCTCTGCATATACAGGAGCGAGCGATTCATTGTCTCATCGCCATCGTCATCCTCCAGCAGGGCATTATCCGCCTGACCGGTGTACTGTTTGAGGGTCCGGGCATGACGTATGAAATCCGAGTCCCTACTCCATTCCTCAATCTCTATAATGTCAGCTGTGATTCGGAGTTCTTTGAGGGACTGTTGCAGCTTCATCTTGGAGAAGATTTCCATTTGAGGGGCCTGCGTGTCAAAGGTGCTAAGGAAAAACGGAAAAAATTGTAGGAAAATTCTATTTGGGATTTATCAATGGACCTACCCCACAGTGCGCTCTTCATTTGTCTCGCACAAAAAGATTCTCACTCGAAGATGCTTCCATTTGGCCAGCATTATCACGGCCAGCTGCATCATGAACAGAGAGACCATATCAAAGGGATCACCAGATGTCGGATTGAATATATTTATGGGCCACACATCAATGTACTTAACATGCTTGCTTCTGCAGAATATGAAACAGAACAGATAAAATTCCATAAAATTCCGATAAATAATATTCTTTCCACTCACATGGCTATAAAGTTCTTATCCAAACGCTGAAAGTTCCTGCACAGGCACAGATTCTTCATCATGCGCAGCGTATCGCATAGGATCTGAACGTATTCCTGCACCTGGAAATGCTTTGGATCACCATCGCGTCGTATGGGAAAGTTCTGTATGTCGCCGCTGTTAAAGTCATCCGTTTTATAGGGGGAGGAACCGCTGTGAGAATGAAAAAACCAAAAATTGATAATCAATTCTCATTTCAGCATTATTTTCACTTACTTTTGGAAGAAATCTTTGGGTGCTTCGTTATCATAGAAGCCCAGAATAATCGTATTGGGTTTCATTGCACCAATTCCCGACAAACGAATCAAATGCTGCACGCCCTCGCGAATGCTGCGGCTCAGCGTGACCTCTGTGAAGGCCTTGACGCGCATGTGATCTAGGAATGACCACCACTGCTGATTCTCCTCCACATCCTCGACGCTCTTAAAGTCACCCACTTTCACATGGCCAATGATGTAGAGGCCGCTCTTCTTGAGATCGTTGACAAAATCGACCAAAGGGCAGCAGGAACGTGGCGAAGAAACCAGGAGAAGTATTTGCGGACGCCAGAACTTGACATGATCCTTGCGCGGATCCAGCATGAGCAGATACTTGCGCACCTGATGGAACATCAAGGCCTGAGAGATGGACCCCCACTGTGCTGCCTGAGTGGCCGGTGAAAAGAGATGCAAAGCAATGACCAAAATCAGGCACAGAATGATGCAGGAGGAGGCATAGATCGGATTGATCACAAACATCATGATGAGTGTGCCCAGCAGACCCACAAGACACGTGTGCCAGGTGAAGTACTTGAACAGAGGCCGGAAGTTTGGGGCACCCGTCAGCTCAATGCCCAAGCAGGCAAGATTGGTGGCCAGATATGAGAGCATGAACAGCACCGAGTTGATCTGCGCGATGATGTTGAAGGAGCCAATCAGCAGGATGCACTCCACCATTACCCAACTGACAGCAACGGCGGCAATCGGATTTCCCTTCCACGTTCCATGCAGCACAAAGTTCAGCAGCGAGCCAAACACCTGATCCTTGGACAGGGCCTCCAGAATTCGGCTAGATCCAATCAGGTTGCTCAGTCCCGTTGAAAAGGTGGCCGTCAGTATGCCAATGGCCGTGAATGGTGGCCAGACATTGACGGGCATCAGGAAGAGGTAGTTATTCCGCATCGTCACGCCCGGTGTGGTGCAGCTCATCAGGAACGAGAGGATGATGTATGAGACGAAGGTAAATGCCACCGCCGATAGTGTGCCCCAGGGAATGCTCTTGGCGGGATTCTTCAGCTCCCCAGACATGTTCGCACCAGCCATGATGCCCGTCACGCCGGAGAACAGCACACCGAAGGTGGTGGCGAAGTCCACCATCTTGTTGTTCGATGTATAATCGTGGCCATATTGCTCTCCCAGATTATCGCTCAGTGTGTTAGCACTCAGACCCGTATACGGTAGAAAGTGCGATGAAGTTTCATTATAATATGTATTTTGCAAGGGCACCGGTATCTGCAATCACCAAAAACAAAAAAACTATCTAGGTTATCGCAAAAATCAGCTAATTAATACTATATGTTCTACACATATATGCACATTTATATATATGTATATATATATATAATACATTTGTAATCAGTCCCGCTCATCATCACTCTCTGACTCACAAGAATCGTCATTTCACTTTGCCTAAACCCTTGGGTCTTATCGTAGTTCTGTGGGTTTTTAGATATGCATTTGAAAGGGGAATTGTTTAATACAGCAAAACCCACAAAAACTGACCGGAAAGATAAAAGCTGGCCAGAAAACGAGAAACGAGGAAACATGCGGACAAGTCGGTATATTGTTGCTTCTAACGATGTTTTAATGTGGGGAATTATGTGTATTTACAGAAAAATATTAGACTGGGAAGATAAAAGCCGAGGGAATGCAACAAAAGACTGGATTCCTTTCGATTCATGTTAGGGTAGATATATGTATCTTTTGGTGAAAATGTGCTCTGTTCTTGAATAAACGGAATGGAGTGTTTTTCTATGATCTATTAATCGTTGGATAGCTATAACATATTATATCTATAAGAAAAGGCACATGTTCCTTAAACGTTTTGGGTAACTACCCCGGGGTACAGATCTTTTTGGTGGCTTGACACGACCTTCGACAGCCTCGCACCGCAAAATAATGCTTCATCTGTGGTGTTCTTCAGTATTTATCGCCATAATATAAGTAGAAAAAGAGTTCCCAAGAAGCTAGAGTTCTCCAAGAATGCATACATCAATTCTAAGGACCAGATGTGATTACTAATGGAATTCCTATGCATATGTAAATTTATATGTATACTTCAGGAGCTTTTTCATACATTTGTGGAGAACTACTTGATGAATCATACTATATTTCAATGTGTTTCTGCTGTGAAATATAATACAAATCTGCCAGAAACACACAGAAACAATCGAGGCGCTACTCTTTATCACACTTGGGATTTCTGCTACGAGTATGCCTTAAAATTCAATTTTAAATAAATGAGCCACATGAGCCATAGATAGCCTAGATATCGGTATAGCGTATACTCCGGGATTGATAAGCCTGACAGGGCTTTGGGTCAATGAGTGATGGTCGAAGGGGAGGGGGATGTGCTGGAAAAACACTTACCGTGTCATTGGTACCGCTCAGAGACAGGAAACTGATATACGTAGCAAGCAGGGAAATAGTCACCGTACCCAAAATAAGCACTGACGTTTTGGCAAAGAGTGCGGCACCCACTAGGCAGACCAGGAGCTGGCAGGTGTTGATGATGCTGCTGGTGAGGAAGCGCCACCAATCGCCGTCGGGCAGGGTGGCACCGTCACTGACAAAGTGTCCGCCCGGGCCAAAGTTATCCATGATGGCCTCGGTGCAGCCAGTGATGGCCATTGCCGAGCCGACAACATTCGCAAAGAAGAACAGGGTGCCAATGGAACCACCAAATTCTACGCCCAGAGTGCGACTGATCATGACTGGAAAAGGTTTATCATTAGATATTAAATCTACTATAGAAGAACATTTATATGACTCACAGTATACGCCTCCACCTTCAATGGCTCCATTGGTAGAGATGGCGCAGACAGACGCCACCGTAAACAGAAGTATCCCATAGGCTATGAGGAACTGCAGCAGAGTTATGTACAAGCCCGCATTGCCGACAATGTAGCCTAATCCGATTACACACAGAGAGAGAAAGTCAGCCACAGATAGAGAATCAAAAGTTCAATGGACCGAGACAACAAGTGTCTGTCGGTCCATGACGTCACCAAGAAAACAGCACGTACCAACACGTATAAACACCAATGCGCTAAACATCGACAGGGCCACCGGACTGAAGACCCCAGCAAAGGTGCCCAGTGTCCGGCCACTCCGTTCCGGATTCTGCATCCCAAACTCCACATAGCCATCGCCGGATTGCGGCGTTTGCGGGCGAGTGGTGTCCGAGTTGTTGCCACCGAAAAGGGAACCGAAGCTTCGGAACACACTGCCAGCGCTGCCGTTGCGCGGCGCGGCAATGGGAGCCGTTTCCTGATCCGTGTTGCTGCTCATCACGGCCGAAGGTTGAGTAGCGCGTAGCTCCAGAACGGAAAACACGATAAAATTGCTAGCAAACCAATAATAATTTATATCTTTGTGTGCAATCGCCTTTGTTTACTGTATGCGTGCTTCGATATGTTCAAGCAGGGCTGCAGCAGCAATCGATACGAGATCACGGCCATTTGACATTAGGCGTAGCTAACTTTGCTGCGAAGGGAGAGTATCAATGATTTGGTGTCTAATCAGAATACTATCGAGCTAAGTATCTGTCGCTTCTCAAAATGTTGTAAATTTTCAGAGAAGATGAAGACGATTCCTGGTGATGTGGTGGCCAGGTGAACTAATTGGAACGGAGGGCAGCACCCAACTCCCATCACCCCTTCCATGGGAGGGATTTTTTGCCTTGGGCTGATCATACTTATTGTAAGTAGTAGCGCCTTACGATGATTAAGTTGGCCCGATACTATCCATAGTATCGATTTTGTAAATCGATTTTTTTCAAAACTATCGAGTGGCGCCTCAGCTGTTCGGGTTAAAAAAGTTGAATTTCACGAATTTAACATGGTAAATGATAAAAAGCGTCGCTCGCGGTCGCGGGAACGCTTCAGGGACGAGCGTCAGCAACAGGGAGTTGGCCAAAGGGATAGGGAGCGTGAGAGAGAACGACCACGGGAAAGGGAGCCGCAACGTGGAGAGAGGCCAAACGATAGGGAGAGGGACAGACGCCAGCGGCGGTCTCGTTCCCGGTAAGTTTTAATTGCCTTAATTCATTAATGATACATACTAATAAGCTTCTTTTACAGTGAGGATCGCATCAGACGTCGGTCACCAGATCGCCAGAGGCCCAGGGATAACAATGGCCAAGAGCGTTTACGTGAACGCGGTGGTCCAGGAGGAGGGCGCACGGGAGAACCGGAAAAGAGAGTCAAACTGGATTCGTGCGCCAGTTCCGGCAAACCTGATGGTAAAGAGGATGAGGAAATGCCAGATGAGAAGCAAGAACACAAGCTAAAGAAGGAACCGCTCTCCCTGGAAGAGTTACTGGACAAAAAGAAGCGCGAGGAGGAGGCACGTGCCAAGCCGGTCTTCCTCACCAAGGAGCAGCGTGCCGCAGAGGCCATCAAGCGTCGCCAGGAGGAGGTGGAGCGTCTACGCGCCGCTCAAGATGCAGCCCGAGAGCAAATGGCAGCTCCCAGAGAAATAAACATGTCCATAGCCACCGCCCCAGCAACGGCACCTCCATCGGCGCCAATGCCGCCGCCTCCCTCGAGGCCAGAGAGACGTGAGCGTGGCAACAGAGGCGACAGGGGTGGTGGTGGTGGTGGTAATAATAATAACGGCGGTAATCATGGCGGCGATGGCGGTGGAGGAGGCGATCGCGGTGGTGATAGGGATCGGGATAACAAACGGGCCGAAGATCTCACCCACAAGGACAAGGAAAAGGAGCTGGAGGCCATTCGGGAGCGATATTTGGGTATCGTGAAGAAGAAGCGGCGCGTGAGGCGTCTCAACGATCGCAAATTCGTCTTCGACTGGGATGCTGGCGAGGACACATCCATTGATTACAATAATCTGTACAAGGAGCGTCACCATGTGCAGTTCTTTGGTCGCGGCAACGTAGCCGGCATCGACATCAAAGAACAGAAGCGCACCCAGAGCCAATTCTATGGGGACCTGCTGGAGAAGCGTCGCACAGAAGCAGAGAAGGAGCAGGAGAAGGTGCGCTTGAAGAAGATGAAACGCAAGGAGGAGAAGCAAAAGTGGGACGATCGCCACTGGTCCGAGAAGGACAACGACGAAATGACTGAGCGCGATTGGCGCATCTTCCGTGAGGATTACAATATAACCATCAAGGGTGGCAGGATACCCAATCCCATACGGAGCTGGAACGAGTCCGGCTTCCCGCCGGAGATCATCGATATCATCGATAAGGTCGGCTACAAGGAGCCCACGCCCATTCAGCGCCAGGCCATACCCATTGGCCTGCAGAATCGTGACATTATTGGCGTGGCCGAGACGGGTTCGGGTAAGACGTTGGCCTTCCTGATTCCCCTGCTCTCATGGATTCAGTCTTTGCCCAAGATTGAGCGTCTGGAGGATGTGGATCAGGGCCCGTATGCCATTATCATGGCACCCACCCGTGAGTTGGCCCAACAGATTGAGGAGGAGACGATCAAGTTCGGCCAGCCCCTAGGCATACGTACTGTGGTCGTGGTGGGCGGTTTGTCCCGTGAGGAGCAGGGCTTCCGCCTGCGTCTGGGCTGTGAGATTGTCATCGCCACACCGGGTCGTCTCATCGATGTGTTGGAGAATCGCTATCTAGTGCTGAATCAATGCACATACATTGTCCTCGACGAGGCAGATCGTATGATTGACATGGGCTTCGAACCCGATGTCCAGAAGATCCTCGAGTACATGCCCGTGACCAATCTCAAACCGGACACCGAAGAGGCCGAGGATGAGAACAAACTTATGGAGAACTTCTACACGAAGAAGAAGTACCGCCAAACCGTGATGTTCACGGCAACGATGCCGCCGGCTGTGGAGCGTCTGGCCCGATCCTATCTGCGACGCCCATCCACCGTGTACATTGGTTCCATGGGCAAGCCAACGGAGCGCACAGAACAGATCGTGTACATGATGGGCGAGAACGACAAGCGCAAGAAACTCATGGAGATCCTGTCGCGCAAGATCGATCCGCCAGTCATTATTTTCGTCAACCAGAAGAAGGGCGCCGATGTACTGGCCAAGGGCCTGGAGAAGCTCGGCTACAATTCGTGCACCCTTCACGGTGGCAAGGGCCAGGAGCAGCGAGAGTACGCTTTGGCGGCCCTCAAGTCGGGCGCCAAGGACATACTGGTGGCCACCGATGTGGCTGGTCGTGGTATCGACATCAAGGACGTCTCCCTGGTTATCAACTACGACATGGCCAAGTCCATCGAGGACTATACACATCGTATCGGTCGTACGGGTCGCGCTGGCAAGACTGGTTGTGCCATCTCCTTTGTCACCAAGGACGACAGCGGTCTCTTCTACGACCTCAAGCAGTGCGTCACGGCCAGTCCGGTGTCCACATGCCCACCCGAACTGACAAATCATCCGGAGGCACAGCACAAGCCCGGCACCGTAGTCACCAAGAAGCGCAGGGAGGAGAAAATATTCGCCTAAGATTCTCTTTCAATTTTCGTGTGAAAATAAAATTATGATAAAACTATCCAATAAAGCGAGCGACATGAGGATCTGTTTCCAGGGATCCCAACATTTCCATTTTAACTTCGCTGACTCTTTATTTCTCCATCATCTCAGCAAACGAAGGAACAAGGCGTTCCTGCTTTGCTTTGAGTCCATTGGCAAATACTTGTCATAGAAGTCTACGATGATTTCCTCAATCTTGAAGCCAAACTTCTGGTACAACATCACCGCCGAATTGCTGGCGGACACATGCAGTGTGATATCCTTGGACATGCAGGTCTGTATGAGATGGTAGAGCATGAAACTGGCTATGCCACTGCGCTGCCAATTCGGACGCACGGCCATAAACGAGATGTAGGCCTCGTTGTAGCCCACGTCTGGGACGAGGAAACCACAGCCAATGACCAACTTCTTGTAGAGGGCCACCACACTGTAGTCCGGATAGCTAAGGCATTCGCTTACTGCAAGACAAATTAAACAATTAGAGCATTTGTTTGATTGACCATTAAATCTGATCTGCAATCTAACCATCAATGTTCGGCCAGAAGGCACTCTGAAGCAGGGCATTCACCGCCGGTATATGCTGCGGCCTCACGTAGCAAAAGTCTATGGGCGATCGGGTGGGATGGCAGCGATTCACGCGATGCTGCAGCTCGCACATAAGCTTCAGCCAAGGCGGGCCCATCGTCTCGCTGCGAAAGATGAAGGGATGCAAGACCCGCTGCGAGTACGGAGACTCGAACATTTCATACTGAGTGGAGCCCGTAATGCGAGCATAGAACGAGCTCTTGGGATTCTGTTGGGAGTGGGCCAGCAGCTGATAGCGATCCAGAATTTGTGCCTGCTGTTCGCCATGCATCTGACGCCGTGCCCTGGCCGTGGGATCAATGTGCTCGTCCAGGTTGAAGATGAGCCTGTTGTGCTCTCGCTTCCATTTGCGCAGGCACAGCTTGCGATACAGGCGACGCACAAAGGCTGGGATGCTCAATTGGCACTGCTGCTCCAGCGAGAAGATCTTGTGCAGCCGCTCATACACCTTCTGCTCCTCGCAGACGCTCATCAGGGTTAGATTCTCGCTGGGTATGGCCACATCATCCGCCTCTTGGGGTCTCTCCTGCAGCCAGGGCCAATTACGGCGCGGCTGTCGGATGAAACCGCTCGGCTTGCAGTGCCCTATCAGTGGGGCTTTAGTTTGCAATGCCTCTTCGGAGATCTCTTCCATTTCCTCTTCAATGGGTTCCTGCTTGATTTTCTGGCTTTGTTCGCGGGGATGATAATTGGTGATTTCCACTATTCGCGGCTGATGGCTAGAGGTAGCTTCCATCTCCTCCAACGCGATCTCTTTTTGGTCTTCGGTTTGATCTTCCTCGCTCTCTGCGCTGGCCTCATCTGCTGGTAAATCCGCGGCCGTCGTGTCTGCCATCTCCTCTTTGATGTTGGGTCCGTGCTTCACTTCTTCGCTGGTGTCCGGAATGCCAAAGTTTGTCTCCATGTCGAATAGACCACCACTGGGCGAGGGAGACTCCAGCAATGCTTCCGTCATAAAGAAATCTGTTTTTCCCGCTCCAATCAGGGGTGGTGGCATTATGCCGGGTAAACTGCTGAACATGCTGAGTTCGTCGCCACCAAAGCTCTCGGCTAAAAAGTCCATAAGGCTGGCCTGCACACTGCTGAGTGGCTGGGGTGATTTAACCTCCTCTTCCTCCTTTACTGTCATGGACACACGCGCCTGAGGCACTGGTATGGTGGGAGGAAGCGGTGGTTCCTCTGGAATTACAGTGGCCACAGGAGGCGGTGGCTGCCTGGGTTGTCGTCCCATATAAGGACTGAAAGTGGAAGAGTTTCGTTACACATGACGATCTGTACCTATGTTGTGAATTTAAGCCTTACATAGTACGGGCACAGCCTTCGCTGCAAGGTGTAGGAACCTCGGCTACAGCAGGAATCTTTACATTCTCTTCGACGATGGGTGCAGTATGATCAATCACATCCACCTCACTATCACTATCATAACCGGCAAGGGAAGGTTTGTCAAATCGCATCGCCACGCGTTGTTCCAGCGTTTTCTCATCTGCATATATGTAGATGGAAACATGTATTCCAAACCGAAAGAATTTCAAAATCTAAACTCACATTCTCGTTTCGTGCTTCTGGGTGTTTGGTTTGATTTGGCCAGCTTCCACCAGCCTGTCTCATTGAACTGTTCCATGGCCGAAATGAAGTATTTTGGGCTATTGTGTGAGAGAGTACCCGAGACGGAGCCAGTCCACTTCTTGCGACGGCGACTAGAAGAAGGTTTGTTAAGAGTCTAGTCTCCATGTCATGAACTTGATTACTCCACTCCACCACTCACGCATTCGGGCCGAATATGTAGTTCCAGTTGCGTTCCACAAAACTGATGATGTGTGTGCGCCAGTGGAAGAACCCATGATGACCCAGACCCTTCTGTTTGTGCGACAGATTGTAAAGGGTCAGTGTCAGCACCATCAGCCAGGGCATCTTCTGACGCACACACTGCTCTTTCACATCATTGTGTGTATACGGCGCTCCTTTCTGTTTCAGCTGCTCCTCCGCGCACGTTGCACATGTGAAGTCAAAGAAAATATCACCCAACAAATCACCAGGAGTACTCGTGTGCAGACACTTGATGTGCACCAGTTCATCGCAATGCTCGCACTGCAGGTAGTTGTCATCGTCGATCCTTAGCTGGCAATACTTGCAGTTGGCATCGACCTTTTCGCTTTCATTTGATTCTTCCATACTAGTTGTTTAAATTAAAAAACAATTTAAAAAAAAGGTAAACAACTTGATGGTGGCACTATCGATACTATCGATGCTTGAAAAATAAACCGGCCATCGACTGTTTTGGTCGATAGTATCGAAAATTGCTTAAGAAATGTTGAATGTTGTGCGTTCACAATAGTGAATGGTTCTTTTTTCGTTCGTTCATGAACCGCCCATCCAACACTGATTCCTTCTATGATCAATCTATTAAATTTCATTTTCAAAGGTATATAGAAATCCAATACAAGCAAGTATTTAGAATAGGCCAATCAAGTAGGAAATAGATTCACTAATCGTATAAAATTATGTGGGCACGGCTAAATGTTTAATGTAGCTAGTAATATTCGACGGAAGATCAAAATTTGAATATGTAAAATAGAACTTGAATTCGTCAGTATATTTACGGTATATGTATTTCAAAAGAGACGGTATATTTCGGTATACTTCTGAGAGTCGGACCGTATAACTTATCGGACTTTATTTTCTTGCCACCACGTCTAGCTCACACACCTCGCAATTTGTATACTTTTCATAGTATTTTCTAGTATTTTCCAGTATATTTTAAGACGCGTTATAAACTCACCCTCTTGTCCAATGCACCAATGTAGAAACCGTGTAGAAATGCCACTTAGAGCCATTTTCCAGGCCACATCGAATACTAATTCGTGATCAGAATCGGACTCCATCAAAATCTCAATTTTTTCAAAAATGGAAAAAAGGCATGTCAAAAACGAAGGTTTTTCACACTGGCGCTTCCATTGGGCTTCTATGAAAAAAACGGGCAAAAATTTTTAAACGTACACATTTCCCCATCAGGTGTCGCCTTTGATAATTACATAAATATGTAGTTAATATGTAGCAGCTGTGTAGTTAGCGCGTAGTTACCATGTAAGGAAATTAATTTAGTGGACATTTTTGTTGACCGATTTTGCTTAAACCTTATTTCATAAACAAACCAATCAAGATGTGAACTTAAAGATAACCAGTCTTGTAGGAAATTGATATTATAATCGGATAAAATTATCAGTTTAGACCCTCAGGTCTTAGGTAGGTAGTTATATTCCACGGAATATCCAAAACGAGTAATGTGATGCAACTTGAACACAAATAATTCGCCAGTATATTTGCGGTATATTTTGAAATTTGTGACGTACATTTTATCGATAAGTCCGCGGTCACAGTGACTGATTCCTTCTTTTGGAACTTCGTATATGTCAAGATGGTATGTGTTTAAATTGGCTTTAAAAAATCGCCAAACATCCGCGTTAATTATTGTTGAAACCATGTAGAATTATTGAATTCTTGCAAAGTGCAACATTTTTTACCCTTTGTGGGTAATATTGTGTTTTGTGTTGTGCGTTGAGTGCGTTCTATTTGATTTCGAAAAATTTGTGTTTGCTTGCATTGCCGGAAATCTAATATGCTATGTTCTTGTGTCCCCCTCACCAGGTGAATGTACCAAAACAACGCCGCACCTTCTGCAAAAAGTGCAAGGTCCACAAGCTGCACAAAGTGACGCAGTACAAGAAGTCCAAGGAGCGCAAGGGTGCTCAGGGCCGAAGGCGTTACGACAGGAAACAGCAGGGTTTCGGTGGCCAGACCAAGCCCATCTTCAGGAAGAAGGTGAGACTCGCTTCTCTAATGGAAAATCGAAATTAGTTTGCACTTCCAGTAGACCTAAATCGCTGCGCTCATGGAGCATTCGGCTTTTTGGTGGGACATATGGTGCCAAAGCAAAATGTGGTGGTTGCACCGAGTGCAGCGTTATGTCGTCCTTAATATGACCATAACCGCCCCACCTGCAGCTCCAGACAATATTAATCAATGTAATTCATTTTCGTGGGTCTCTCTCTTTACACTTTATCTGTTGTTCATCGACATTCGCACTTCCAGTAGACCTAAATCGCTGCGCTCATGGAGCATTCGGCTTTTTGGTGGGACATATGGTGCCAAAGCAAAATGTGGTGGTTGCACCGAGTGCGGCCTTAAAGGCAGCGTTATGTCGTCCCTAATATGACCATAACCGCCCCACCTGTAGCTCCAAACAATTTTATATAGTTGCAACTCGAGCGTTTCCATTGCTAACGTGTTTTATTTTCTCATTTGCAGGCTAAGACCACCAAGAAGATTGTGCTGCGTATGGAATGCACTGAGTGCAAGTACCGCAAGCAAACTCCTCTGAAGCGTTGCAAGCACTTCGAGTTGGGAGGTGACAAGAAGCGCAAGGGACAGATGATCCAGTTCTAGGCACCAACCCATACTTTTTCTATATCGAAGTGTTTTAAGTTGTTTTCTGCACCGCGCTTATGTGGCGGCAAATAAAACAAATTAAATTGTAGACGTAAGCTTTAGAAAAATGTTTAATCTACAAATGTAGCAATAATTGCTATATCACAAAGCGTCCTGTGCTGCTGGTTCTTCAGTTCTCTGGCTACTCACGGACACCATCTTCCAGAATTCGATCGGGTGTACTGAAATATAGCGGATTGAAAATAATTCGAATCAATATAAGCTAACAAGGCTATTCATACGCACTCCAGGAGCTGTGAATCCAAGCCTTCGGATTTCATTTTCTGCTTGACAGCCTGTGCCGGCACTCCAAAATGTAGCATCTTGAAGAATTTCCTATAACGAATATCCTCGCAGGTCCGCACCCCCGCCAGCTCGGGCTCCTGCTCAGTTTCCGGCTCCAGCTCGGGCTCAGGAACAGGTGGTTCTTCGACGGCAGGCGTTGGGGCTTCATCAATCTCGGTAGTGGCTTGCAGGGGTTTTGCTGGGCTGTTTGTGTCACCGACAATTTCGCTGTCGGTGGGAATGGATGCCAGCTTTGCTTCCAAAATTACCAAAGAAGCCTCCGTCTTTTGTAATTGCCTCTCCATTTCAACAAACTTCGTTTCACAGCCCAAAGCAAACTCATTGAGAAAGGTGCAGGTGCTGATTAGGAAGTGGTTGACAAACGCCAGTATCCGTTTTTGGTTAAGAGGCGGTATCTGAAATAATAGTCAAATTACAAGACGGATGCCGTGGCCATGGAAGATACCTTCTTACCTTCGTTTTATCCACATCGCCTGTAATCGTTGCATTTGCATCCATTTTATTTGAGATTTTTTTTTATTTTATTAACTAGAGATGGCAAGTTGCCGATGAAAATATCGATAATTTCTTTTCGTTGGCAAATTGGCCAATTGTCTGGGCAACACTCGTGTGGCGGTGCTAATCGAAAACAGTGCTGTTTGAAATATTGGTTTTAAATATTTTATTTATTCGCTTTATTGTATCTTAACATGAAATGTGTGAATCTGTTTATGGTATTTCATTGATTATTTCGATTTATTATAAAAGTATTGTTTATTCAATTAATATTTATTTTTTCCTTTCTCTTTGTATTATTTGTTCTTAGTTTTCTGTTTTTTTTTTTTACTTTATATGTCTGTATAAACTTATGTGCTGGGGTTATTCCTTTGGGACCTGCAAATCTACAATGAACTCTTTAATTACGACTTAGGGGTAATGCTAATCATCATTATCATGTTCTCCTCGTCAGTTTCCCACGCTTACACAGGCTTAATCATAAGTCGAATTTTACATTCGCAATCTTTAATTTTTTTTGTTACAACTTTCTTGCGTCTCTTTCTGTCATGAAAAAGAATTATATGTATGTATTTGTTTTACATAATTATAGTGGATCGCCCTTGCTATTTTTTATTTTTTTTACTCTGTAGAACGAAACGCATGCGTGTTGCTGGTGTTTTCTTTTTACGGCAGTGGAATTGTAAACGGTTGTGTTGTTCGAATTAAAAATAGACATTTATGTTGTGCGATATATATTTGCCTTATTGGTTTTTTCACAAAATTCAAATCAAATCATAAGGCTGCCAGCAGCGAAGTCTCTTTCAAAAAATTAAAAAGGCAAAACATAGTCTTGAATGTACGAATACGAATGAAAATTTTGTTTTTCGGTGCTTCTAATTTCGTTTTCGTTTCTGAAATTTGGACGTTGCAAACGAGAGCCAGCTGGTTCTACAACGTTTTCATCCAATGATTGGTTTTTATTTTGTTGCATGAAGGATCTTTGGGTGTGGATCGTGGATATCAAAAGGCAAGTCACACACGGGCTTTCATTTTGTAAAACTTTATTTTAAAATAAAAATACATGGTAATAAAAAAATCAAAAATTTACAATTCAAATTAGAAATCAATAGATTTATGTATATGTAAATGTATATCTGCTATATAACTGTGTTGGTGTTTGGGTGTTATATCACCTCTTCAGATCGCATCGCTTTATGGATATCAGATCCAAAAGGTGATGGATTGTTTGTTGGGGTAGGGGTGGAGGCGTGTGGGGTTAGTAGCAACTAAGGTGTAAAATTAAAATACATAAACTAAAGTAGTAGAGGATTTTGCTTGGTTTCCATCGCTTTTCGAATATCAACTTGTATTTTAGGGGCATGTATATATTTTGGTGATGGAGTATGTGAAAGGCTTCGCATGATAATAAATGTAATACTAAAACTAATATTGAGTTGCTCGGCTTTCACGTTCATGTCACACATCATATCTATTCATATCATATCATATTCTCATCTCTGCATTTGCTCTGCACTCAAACGTAGAGTTGGCTCTTGATTAAAATTACGAGTACAGTACGCATTCCATCGATAAGCGATTTCTAATTTATATTTCAACTACGAAATCCATCAACAGGATCAGGCGACACGACGTTGTTTTGCATTTAATACTAGGCATAAATTAAATAAATAGCTTAGCGTACACAGTTTATAGCTTGCCTGCAATTATTATTTTTTATCAATTATATATCATTCATTTCCCCCATTTCCCAATCAAGCAGTGCATCCCATCGTTTAATGACAAAACGGAAATCATAGAATATATATATAAGCATATTTTTGTTGTTGCACTTATCAATTAATCAAGTTTTGTTGTTACATTTCTGTGTTGTTCTTGCTGATTTTTTCGAAATAAATATTCATCCGCCTTTATCCTTTTCTCCTCTTCTATCGGTTGTCCCTCCAATTAAATTTTAATTTACAATTCTCTCCCGCTCTTGCGCTAAAGTTTAAGGGCGTTATATGAGGGAGGGGGGACATAATGCAATAATGCTTATTTTAATACTAAAAAATTTGATCGTCTACATGTTTTGCGTTATGTTTTTTATCCACTCTAGAGTGCAAAAAAACGAGAGTTCCACTTGGGGCACTTGGACAGCGAGCGTGCCTATATATATGAAAAATGCTTAACCATCAATCTATCCACTATCAAACGTTGTTGCCATGGGCATAGAATAAGTATACGTATATATATATTTATGTATATATCAAATGTACAGGAAGTTGGAGCAGGCAGGAGCTTTCAAACAATCGCTGTGCAAGTGCCCCAATTATACAACTAAAACTAAGGTCCTGGAAAGCAAATCAATGTTGAAGAATTTGTACCTCAAACAACATCAAGTTCCTTTTTGCCATTTACATACGACTATTTCTATAATGCATCAATTTTGTGTCTGTGTGTGTTATTAACAAATACATAATGTTCAATGATGCCTTTTGTTTTTGTTGCACTTATGTGTCTATTTGGGGGTTAAACTATGCCAATTTGTTTGCATTGCTTTAGAATTAGTATTACTTTCCTAGATTACACACAATTCATGTCGTACTTGACTTTTGCTTTGCTCTTCTTCTGTTTCTTGTTCTCCTACTTCGAAATGCCATTTATTATATTGAATTTATTTATCGTTATTTTGTTTTGTTTTGTTTAGCAATTTTTTTTTTTTTAATGTATATGCATAATTTGTTGTTGTTGGTTGTTCTTTTGTGTGGTATAATTAGATTTAAATGTATAAGTATATATATATATATAATGTATGTATAATTATTTAACTCGAACTCGTCATCGCTTTGCTTGTGGAGCTGCTTGCTGGCTATGGATTCTGGATTCTGGATTCTCTGGATTCTCTGAATTTGGGGTCTCGGTCTCTTAGACAAACACCTTGGCCAGGCCATCGGCCCCAGCACTGGCTATATACGGCTTGGTGGCATGGAATGCCACATCGAATATGCTCTCATCGAACTTTTTGCGATGCGCTGTTATCTCCTGCACGCATGTTTTATTGTCCAGATTCCACAGCCGTATCGAGCAATCATGCGACCCGGATAGCAAGTACAGACCATGTGCGTCCACGGCCAGGGATGTGACCGGCTCCAGATGCGCCACCATCGAGTGTACGAGAGTGCCCGATGTGTTGTCCCAGAAGCGAATATGCCGATCCTCGTGCGCCGTGATCGTAACGGGCAGTGTGGGATGCGAAACCACCTTGTTGATGAATTTCCCCGTATTGCCCGACATCTCCTGTGCCGCCTCCAGCTTGATCACCTGCTTGCCCGTTTCCGTATCGTAGATGATACAGTGCGCACTGTTGTACGCCACCACAATGTGATCCACTTCATTTCGGACAAAGTCCACGGACGAGGGAACACCCTCCGCCTCGGCAGCCGTATAGGTACGCAGCATTGGGTCCTTATTGTAGGGCGACCACAACTTCACAGTGCCATCGGCCGAGCACGATACAATATTATTCTGCATTGTCGTTAGCCCCCAGACGGCGTCCGTGTGCCCCTCGAGAGTGCTAGAATGTACATTCGGATCGTAGCAGTCGTAGGGATCGATATTGGGCGATGGCAGCTGCCAGCACTCGATGTTACCATCGAGGCCCCCCGAATAGCATGTCTCGCCACTGGTTGACATGCCCAGGCACAAGACGGGACCCGTATGGGCGCGGAACGTATACAAAGGCTCCACATCGAGACTAGCTGACTTTTTGGCTTGCACCGTCTTCTGTAGGTTCCACAGCTTGAGCGTGTGATCCTCGGAGGCGGTGATCAGCACTGGCTCCTCCGGATGGAAAATGAGCGAGCGAACGCCATCGAAATGAGAGCGTAGCGTATACTTGGCATTCCAGGTCTTGCGGTAACCAGCACCGCCGGCACTGCCGCCAGTACCATCCTTGGCATTCGAATCGTACGCTCCATCCGATTCATTATTCACCGTCAGTTGGGCCAACTCTCCCAGTCCCAATGAGCCGTCCACTTCTGTGAATAAAATATGCGTTAAATATGTAGAGCTATTACGGGAGACTGATTGTCTGAGTCTATGTTGTGTTGGAGACCATGAAAAGAATACCAAATGAAATGTAGATTGGATTGGCCCCAAGTAAGTGCCTTCATTGGGAATTCTTTTCAACGGTTTACTCTTTACACCGCTTAGTGGCTAGGCAAAAGCGTAGCTAGATGTTAGATGTCTGTTGAAAAGCACCTTCGTTTATAAGATTCATATCGTTCAAGAGCTGCTCTCCCACCTCGGCCTCAAGATCTACGAGAGCGTAGAAGAAAGGAGCGTCAGCCAAAGAAACAGAAGCAGAAAACAAAATAGAAATATGACAATAATGCAGCCAGACTAAACTACTACAGGGGTTACAGTGGAAGGAGTTTGGAATCGAATGGGGGGGTTTTTGGGGCAAACACTAAACAACCATGTATATACGAGGCGGGCCCATGCAGCGGTAGTCGGTGGTAGGGCAACGGAACGGGGTGGCTTCTAGCAGTCTGTGCTTCGGGATGGATCAAACCGTACCTTCAGTCAGCATATCCTTGCCAGATTTGGCCCGCTTGGCCAGCTTCACGTCCGTGTCATCACTGTCGGTGGCCACCATTTCCAGATCATCGGATATCTCATCGTCATCGGACATCTCAGTGGGGCCAAGGAACTCAAAGTTCGCCATTACCGCCGCCTCGGTGTCAATGATGATTCCATCGGACGCTTGTTGCACTTGTTTTTTAGCGGGAGTATGACGGCCTAATGTGAGCAAATTATTCAAATCTTCAACAGGGGGTAAATGCACAATTCGCCTACCTTCCGTGTCCGAGGCCCGCTTGTTGCTCTCGTTGCCATTGATGTTCGGACTAATATTCTCGCCGCCGGTGCCAAGACCGCCGCCACTGCCATCGTGCTCCGCATTGTTGTTCAGGCCGAGGATCGAGCGTACCCTGTTCGAGCGCACATCGATGATGTTGTCTGTGTAGCCGATCTCGGCCAGATATTGGCGCAACATTTGCCGACCCTGCCGCCACGTGGTGTTCGACACAGAGCTGTAGGGCACTTCGGAATCGGTGGCCACGTCGCCGGTCAGGCCTGAATCCTCGTTTGTCGGCTTAAACTCGTTCAGCTGCGGCGGATCGGTGCCGTACTTTAATCGATAGAACTTGGCCCGTTCCTGGCGCAGGGCATACTCCAGCATCTTGATGCGCCTCGTCAGATCCGATTTGAGACTCTCCAAACATTTGCGCTCCCCCAAAAGCATTGCAATTCGTGCCTGAAAATATTCCAATTGAAAGATTCGATAAGATAAACGGTCTAGTTATCAATAATTGCCAAAGGGAACAAACAGAAATCTCCCGTATAATTTAATATTGATTGTGGGTAAAATCATAAATAAAAAATAACTGTAAAATGAAAACTTAGTTAATTTAAAGCTGATTGATTTAGCTTTCCCATATGGTTGCTGTCCCCCTTTTGTTTTTATTTTCTGCAGTTTCTTTACGATTGCGTCTCTCTCGTTGCAATCCAATTGCGTTTGTTCGCGGTTTTTGTTGTTGTTGGTTGCAGCGCATAATTGACGCTCCGCTGCGTCAGGCCAACGAAAAACAATTAAATTCAATTAATTGTTATAAAAAAAATTAAAAATAGACAACCGGCATAATTAATTGATGTTGTGGGTAAGTGGGTAAGAGATATAGAGGGTATCTAAGCTCAGAGAAAAAAGAGCGAGCAAGCCACTGTCTGTCGGTTCAATTATACGAAATGCGTAAAAACTGCAATGTATCCCTCCCTCCCTCTCTTTCTCTTCCGTCCCATCTTGTTTTTATTCAGCAACAATGTGCAGTTATGACTGCGCAATTTGCTGTAAATTTTGGGCTGCAGAATGAAGGGGAGCGGCGGGTGCAGGACTGCACCTGACATAGTTGTTGCCCCCCCCCCCCCCCCCCCCCCCCCCCCCTGCTATGCGTAAAGGAGAGAAACTTTTGCTTTTGCTGCGACGCCCCCTAAAAAAACACACACATAAGTGAGAAGGGGGAATATGGGAGAACGCTGTTCAATGAGTGGAGAGAAGCATTGCCAGAACTAACGACAGTAACGGTTTTGTTTCTCCCTGCTAATAGTAACAGCAAAAGTGTATGTGCGTTGGTGAGAGAGGCAAGGAGGATAGAGAGAGAGCTAAGCAGTTTTGACATGTCTTATGATACCCTAGCGGAGAGGAGGGTACTAATATTTTATAGGTGTAGATGTTTGTAAGGCAGAGAAAAAACATTTCCACACACAAACAAGAAAATACCATATGAATATTTAGGTTTAATCGGACGAGCTAATCAGTTTTACCGCAAGCAGTCTATAATCAATATATGTAAGAAGAATGCACGAATAATACTTAACTAACTTAGAAACGTGCAAGGGTATCAAAAGCCTCGACTACCGAAGCGCAGCATTTCTTTCTTTGTTGCGGCTTGGTTCCGCTGTTAATGGAAACATGTTATGCATTTAAATTAACGCTCAATGGCATTTCGTTTGGCTCTCTTTGAGTTTTGCTAATTAAAATCAACCAACGGATGAAGACTATGATGCAGGAGAATAGGGCAGCCAACTGGGTACCGCAAAAGGGGCAGGCACGCCAACTCCACCTTAGGCCCCCTGGGCTATGGACACCTACAACTCTCGCTCACAAATCGCTCGGTAACATGCAACTGCCTTTTGTTTGCAATTAATAATTAGAAATTACAGAATTCCATGATAAAAGCGCGTTTGGTAATGAAATAGCCAAGAAGCCTCACGTCTCAATAGTGTCATTAATAAACTTTTCAGATACATTGGAAACAAAATGTTGCCCGATTTCTCATTGCATAACGCTTGTAGGATGGATTCTTCAGTTAGGTCTCCCATAAGTATTCACTGATCTGCTTGAGTAAGTATTAACTTTACAATTGGTGCCTCCGAAAAGAACTTTCACCAACTCTTCATCTCAATCTCACAAATTAAAATAAAGCTTATAAATTTCTTCAGCTAGAGACTAATCTATGGATAAACTACAGAGATCCTCGCATGGTATGCCTCACTGTACCCCACAAATCAAATAAACAAATTGAGAATTATGACAAATTCAAGCGATGTTCTGTTTCTCTAATCTATAAATGACATCGCCGCTCCGCACCGCACACACTCAAACACAGGGAAAATTGTAAAATAATTGAATATGTATTAACAGCTGCTGCGTCTGCGGCGGCGGCGCCATTTCTTTTATGAGTGTTTTGTGTTCTGTTCAGAAGTGTTTATTGAATCCGGGCAGTTATAATATAAGTTAATTGACTGACAGCCGCAGTCGGAAGCACATGTAGTGTCATATGCACAAGGACACTGCCTCACCTCATCATTGCACTAGACACTGACACACAAAGCTAGGTGGCGCAAAGGCTTTTGCCGGCCGACCCCCCATGGACAGAAATAGATGAAAAAGAACGCGACGACAGATGCAAAAAATAAACTGAAACGAAACCAACTAAAATGGCGTCCCCCCATTTGGAAGGTGGGTGAATGTGAATGTCGCTTAACCAGCGACGGTCATTGTGGTTGTCTAGTTGTCTGCCGCCAGCCCACTCGAACTTCTTTTGCCTTCCTTTCCTTCGTTTTGGGTGAAAAAGCACCAAACAAGGCGAACAGGTTCATACATTTTTAGCGACAAATATGCGTTGTTGTTGCTGTTGTTAACTTGTTTTAAGATCCCAGAGAAGATGCAAATCCCAGAGAGCGAGAGAGATTTGAATGTCACGTTGTTGCATTTAGAGCGTGACGGCAAATACAGCACAGCATCGAATCCGCAGGGCAAGAAGTGGAGAGTGTGATCGATATCGATTCTAGCTGGTTCACAGGTGAAAAAGATTAGGCGTGGGCGGGGGGACATTGACACTGAGATGTTCCCCATATCAAGAAATTGAAGGAAACAATTCTGCAGAATTATCAAAATACAGTAAACGCAAGGTTTCGGGACAAAAACAAGTGCCTCGTGTGGAAATCTCATATGACTGACACAGGACTGAGAGGACTTTATGTGGCTTAGATTTGATGTGGCAGAGCCATAAGAGAATAGAATTGCAGAATAGAATGCCTGTTCCGTCTGTATCTATATTACATCCTAGGATAACCACACCATTCAGCGCAAGTCTTCGCTTTTGGGATTCCCTTTGACTCTGGGGAATATGCAATTTTCTCTCTTGGTGGACTCTTATATCCCTGAACCGGAAAAAAACGTCGGGAAGCGTAGTACATACGGAGTCAGACCAGCCTTCACTGTGTGTGCGGATTCTCTATTCTCTTTGTGTCTGGGACTGCACCATGTGTCGCGTCGCGGCGCGGCTAGCAAATTGGGGGTTAAAGGTTTTTTGGGAATCGATAAGGCAGCCTGCCCTTCCGATGATGTTCTAAAGGAAACAGAGCATAAATTCGATTACGCCAATTGTTCAGCTCGATTCGCTTGCATGCGGACGACCCTTCCTCTACCACCACTTTCTTCTGGCCGTCGTCTCTCCATGGTATGTTCATGCATTAGCGCCTCGATTCGAAAAAATCATTGAAATGGAAAGTGAGGCGCTCACGATTATGTATATCGTAACGTCACGTTATGCCAAAGGACGACTCCTCTGCTTCTTTTGAGTATGACTCACCTGCAGCTCGGCCCTGTCCACATCCCACTGTGAGCGCTCCAGCTCGAATCGCGACCACTCGTGCTGAATGAAATGCAAGATGCCTGGTATTGTGTATTGGGGCGTGGTGGCCTGCTGATTATTTGGTCCGCCGGACATGCCGTTGCCGCCATCGTCGTTCATGTTGTTGCCACTGCCCATGCCGGTGACCAGGCCGCCAACATTCGCGTTCTGTCCACCAGAGTTGAGGCCACTGATGCTTAGACCGCCGCCTCCACCCAAGCTGTTGGAGAGGACGCCGCCAATTGAGGAATTAGCACCGCCGACACCGCCGAGTACGCCGGCACCCGCACCGCCAACCGGCTTATTATTGATGCCAGCGGTGGCTCCCGAATTGGTTCCCATTTGTTGACCTAAGACTGTGTTGATTTCGCTGCCTGGTTGAGTCGTCTCTTGCTGCTGCTTGCTCTTCTTCTTCTCTTGACAGCTGTTCGCGCCGTTTTCCGCTCTCTCTCTCCAGTTGGTGGCTTGTTCTTAATTTCTTCGTTGACGTTTTATTACTTTTTGATTTAAATTTAAATTGAACTTATGTTTTTTTTAGCTAAAGTTTTCTTTTTTTTGGTTCAGCTGCGCTGTTTCTCTGATGGGTGTTGCTTTAGCCTTGTTACTGTTGTTGGTCCTGGAGGAAATCAAAGTCCTTATATGAGACAAATGAGGTCATTGAATTTTCCGCAAAGCAAATAGGAGCTGAAGAGAGGAGGAGTGGGGGCAACGGCAATGTCCGCTCACATAAGGACACTATTGTGGCTCCCATTCTCGCTCTCTCTCTCGCACTCGCTTATATTCGCCCTATGTATTACACTCTCTCACTCAGGAACCGCCCCCGCCCTTGCCCCTTGCGACCATTCACTAGGAATTCATTCCTCTCTCTCTCGCTCTCTCTCTCCATTTTACGATACAACAACGTCACACGCGACATCTATTCACACTTTGGTTTACGAAAATGGAAAAAATTTTAATATCATATGCTTTAGGTAAAACGTTTCATTTTTTCATTGGAAGATCCGATTGACACTTCACCAAAAATGCACTATTCTCTCATAGAAAACGGTACAATGAAAAACAGCTAGACTTTTTTGGATAACAGCACTTGACGGCATAGCACACACATGCACATACATATACCATTCGCTTAGAAATTTGAATGGTAAAGAGATACAAGACGCACTCACTCACGCACACACACACACACACTCACGAGAGCACGGCAACGGGAAAATAGAGTATGGTTTTCTGGTTTAATATTAAGAACTGGAATCCCAGAAGCTTGCTCATCTCCTTTGCATTGGTTTTTTATCCCCGGCTCTTCCTGGCGCACACACACTTTCGACGCACCTTTTGGCCGATTTTCCACTTTACAATTTTGTTTACTATTTACAGATTTTTCCTAGGAAACGTTGTTGCTACCTTTTTGTGCCCCCGTACGCAAAACGAACGACTGGAGGCGGAGAGAAGAGCGTAAATTGTAAATGGGAGACACAAAGCAGACTACGACATTGCTGATGATGATGATGATGATGATGATGGGGAGAGCTTGCGGTCTATACGCCGCTCTGTGCTCTGCGTTCTGAGCTGCAGTTTATCTCATGCTTTTGTTCACATTTGCGCCCATTTATTGTATACTAATATAATTAAATATCACGAAACGAAACGAAATGTTGTGCAGCAGAGCAGCGCACACACAAAAAGTCGATTCAGATTCAGCCGTTCGGGCACATAAGAATGTTTGGCCTGGAACTCTGAAATAACAGAGTAGGATAACAATATTTCTCTCGCTTGCACTCGCGCACCTGCAGCCCGTCCGCCTTTTTATATATCCATCTCCCTCTATGAGTCTATATACAAAGAAAAACACACACACACACGAACGCACGCATACGCAGGCCAAAGCCGAAGTATTTTCACTTTGTTAAAACTTTGCAAGTGAGGCTATTACGTTTCAGCCACATGTGGGCTTATGCACGGATACGCTTTGCTTACTTTGCACTTTAATGCACCGCTTGGCTGTATTTAGCAATTTTTCGCTTGATTTTCATTGGTGTTTTCACGCGTAATTCTTGTCTGCAGTGTGATTACCGATCAAATATACCGTCGACCCTCAGAAAATACCGAAATATTTCGTCTCATTTTCAAAATACACCGTAAATATACCGATGAAAATGAATTTAATCCACTTAACCCCCATTTATTTAAACAGGTGACAGACTTTAGTTAAACCGTGGAAAATAATACTGTTTGCAAATTATTCTTTTAGAATCATTAGGAACAAAATTGCCGCGACGTCGTTCACCTTAATTTCCTTAAAATTCTTTAAGCTTCATCTGATGTGGAGTGTATTTGTATACCCACCGGTCGACAATGGGTTAATCGTGTTCTGCCCATGATCAGAAATAATATTCAAAGTTTAAAATTTAAAGTTTAAAATCACTAGCTAGCTAAAACCCTCTGCCCTAACTGCATAATTGATGGATCGATTTTCTACATGACCGGAAATTTTTAGAAACTCCTTTTGATTTGATTTTTTAGGAAATAAGGTTTAAAAAAAAGAATAAAAACAGAAATAAGAAACGGGTGATCTTTAACGACTAACGAATTTCTTTGATTTCTGGTAATTAAATTTTGTGCTCCAAAAATAGAAAAATTAAACAAACGGTAATTATATCAAGGGAAAACTTAACCCACTAAAAAATATCCATTTACACAGGTTAACAACTTGAGTTAAGACGCTGAATCTTTGCTGTACCTAATTCTAGCGTTCCATTACGCCAATTTAAATAAATTTAAACTTTCATGCATGAAAAATATAGTTCAATACCAAGGTCGACTAAGTAATATCTATTTCGGAATTTTCCGTGGTTTTCCAGCAACGTTGACGTTGTCGACACATTTTTATTGTTTATCTGCAACAGATGAACAGTTATTTCTTTTGCAAATATTAACTGAAAATGTGTGAGACTTCACCCATATGGGTCCACCCACCGGTCGCCTGGCTACCATTACACAGAGCAGTAACTGCCACTCCATCATCGCTGGAGTCTCTGCCCACCCAACTGGAGAAGACACAGACCTAGTATATTGCCGAGAGGCGAAGACTCGATTTCAATTGATAGGTGATTTTTTGATCGATCAGACATTGAACAGACTCCAGAGCACCTTTGACCGATCCGTACTACGTGGGCAGTAGTAACTCCAGAGCCTCCCAGTGCTGCCCCTGAACAACAGAATCATCTTAAAAAAGGAGACAATAAATGTGCTAAAACTATATTTTAATCAATTGCATTCAGGAATTCAAGTAGGCTGCGATATAATGTTCTCCGGCATAGATCAAGAACAGTTCCAGATTCCGATGTGTTTGTGAAGCAGTCTCGCTCTCGAGCGGCAAAAGATGATTTCTGTGTCTTAAATATTCTTTAGAATCATATCTTAAAAATATTCTCTTTCTTTTGTTTGTTGTTTTACATGCCTGTATGTTTATTTTAAACATACATACATATTCTTAAAGAATGGGTAGGTACATACTGTACGATCTTACTGACCGGGGACCATTACAACATTCTTTCGACTGTACATTTATTATCAGTTATTGCTTTAGATATTTTACCTAACTTTTAAAATCAATATCAACATAAGAAGAAAAGATTCTTACTTTTTACTTATTGCGCCATGGCTAATATCGCTAAATCTCACTGCAGATTTTTGCCCGTCCAGCAGATGCGATTGTTTTGATCGGATCAGAGTATGGACTGTCCTCTCGCTTACAAGAACTCTTCGCACCAATCGTTGAGGCAATTGTAGCAGTCGGAGGCTTGCTTCGAACTGGCGTGGCACACTTCCTTCATCCAGTCCTTGAACAGCTCCTCGTCCTTCTTCAAAATCAAGTACTGGCCGAGCACGGTGTATGCCTGGGGGTATATTAAGTGGTGTTTTAATGATATGTAAATATTTGTTTATTTTGCGCCCCATGGCGTCATCAATATACGCACCTTGTCGAATCCAGCTGCGGTCAAGCGTCCCCCCAGCGTCTCTCCAATTCCAGCCAGCTCTGTGACAGACTTGTTGCCCATTGGCTCTGCCACAAAGTTCTTATATTTCTGCGATGTGCCCGACATTTTAATTTATTTATTATGTTTTTTAAAGCTGGAAGTTCACAATTGTAATGAATTGTTTTTTTTTTTTGGAAATTGTTATCGGACTTATCGGACATACGTCATCGTTGCCGCTGTCACGGATGAACGAGGATTCTTGCTTCTTCTTTATTTTCGGTTGATTTTCTTCAGAGATGCGCAAGGAAAAATTTTAAGATTCCGACGCGCAGTGCGCTTTTTACGTATTCATTAATTAATTAATTATTATAAATATACCGTAAATATACTGACGAATTCAAGTTATATTTTACATATGGGCGCCAAAAATGCTTAACATTTGTGTCAGTGTTGCCACTGACTTATAAGACCATACAATTCTTGACTCATAATCTGGTATATTTTTTGAATATTTTATCGCTAAAATGGAATCAAGCCACGAATGAACAGGCATATTTTCCGCCGTAATTTTAAGTTTTACTGTCGTGGTTGCAGGAGGACATACGGCGTTAAGAGTTATTGGCTCTAGTTAATAGGCTATGTATCTATGTATGGAATTTATAGAATAAAACAGCATCAGCATCTGAATCTAATGCTGATTCTGAATCAGATAGGGCTAAGCTACTCAGAAAATGGCATTGAATCAGTTCTTCCACAGTTTTTTTTTTAACTATTTCGTATGCATTTTGTTACAAGCATCTCGTCAATTTTATAATATCCATTTAATTTTTAACATCAACTACTCTCCCAGCTGTTAACTAACAGCTTACATCTATGGTATCCACACCAATTTGCAATGAAATCAAGACTACCAAAGAGAAGAGATATTAAAAATTAACACTAGTTATTCCGATCGAATGATATCGCGATAGCTATATAATTCCACCTTAGCTCCTTCCATATTTCATTTAGTTTGTTCAGCGGTATACTCTTGTTATTTAAAAAGTGTACTTTTACTGACAGTACCGATAGACTCGATGCCAGCTGTTAGTTAACACTGTTAACTTAACAGTGAAAAAGGCCTGAAAAACGCGACATTGAATAAAACATTCATTTTAAAAGGGGACTTTCCACAATTTGTGTTTCTGTTTCCAGAGCTTGGTGCGAGCGGTCGACGTAGTGATGTAAATTTGAATGAAAACATCGATGTCGATGTCCATCGATGTTCTCAAAATCAAACATCGATGTTGGATTGATACATCGGATTGATTCTTCGATGCATCGATGATGACCGATATTAATATTTCAAATAAGTACTATTTGTCAATGCTTTGCAAAAACCAAAATGCGGCCCGTTCAAAATACACCCAGAAGATGCCATTAACGTCAAAAATTGCATTGTAATTTTGTATAAATTAGGATAGGATAAACACAACACGAAGGACTGCTTTCAAATGAGGCAGACATTGCTGTGTTTGCTGCTTACAGATTTGAAATTAATTGACCGATGTTTTGCAAAACATCGATACATCACTCGACATCGGTAGAAGCACTAACCATACAGTATATATACAGTATATATACTGTATGGTTAGTGATAGTAGTTAGTCCGATGAAACATCGATCAAAACATCGATAGCATCGATGCTACCATCGGTTGTTTTTCCAGTCAGCTCAGCTCTAGCAGAACGAAAGTCCGGTTCGGTCCGTTTCGCAAAATTTCTTTTCGGCTTTTACCTCTCAAGTGAAAGGTTGCTCCTGCTATTGGTTAAGGTACGCATTTTATGCACGATTTATTCCATTCAAGTGAGAGTTTAAACTTTATTTTTAATTCGAACATGGCGTACTCCATTTTTGTGTGGTGTGCATGTTTTTTTTCAATTAAAGTCTTGTTTTTTTGCATGCTGGACGTAAATTATTATATTGTTGGATTCTTCTGTTGTTGCTGCATGCTGTTCTAGTTGCATTTCGGATTCCGCAAATCTTTTTACGGCCACTAACTTGATTTTCTTACAAAAAGCTACGATGTCGGGCCATATAATTTTTTTTTGTTGCTATTTCAGCTTTTTTCTGCTGGACCTTCATAACCTTTAATCAAACCCTACAACCTTACTCCGCCATCTTGAAATTTGTTTATATTTTCTGCTGACGTCACCTTTATTTTTCTGCTATCCGACTTTTGTGAAGCTTTTGGTTTGCTTTTCTTGTCTTGTTTTAGATCTTTTACATCTTGTCAATTATCGAACGAGAATAAATATGAACACCGTTTACGTACGATGCCCTACGATGACCACGCAGTCGCTGCACCAGCAGTCCCTGTATCATCATCGCAATGGCAACGAGGTGTTTGTGCAGGAGCAGTTCTCGCAGAGGGAGTTCATTACCCAACATATACAGCCGACCGTGTTCGTAAATAGCCCGGGCCCTTTTGGTACCTATGTTGCGGCACCGGCACGGCCACCCGTGGCATACGATGCGTACTCGAGTCAATTCGCCTTTAGGCCGACAGTTAGGGGGCCACCGCCAGTCGGTTATTATTGTGTCAATGCGGGTATGATGTGTGTTTTCTCCTTTTTGTTTTTTATTTATAATGTTCCTTTCTTCATCCAGCGGCAGCCTCTTCGAGTGGGCGGTATTTTTGTCATCCAGAGCAACGACCTTGCCCCTATCCGTCCGGATTCAGCGGCCCCAACACACAAGAGAGCTATGGGACCTATTCGTCCGATTCCAGCTCGTCACCACCGTCGACGTATTATATAGCTTCCCAGACCCAAACGACACCCATCAAGTGCACAGATGCAGCCACTCAGTCGAACATGGACTTGGAAGAGCTTGCTGGATACAAGGAAATGACTCAGAACTTTTCCGTGGACTCCGAAAAGTACGTAGAGTGGTGGAGTATCTTCGGTCCATTAATGTTTTGTCGTTGGTGTGTCTTTCAATATATCTATAGCCCTGAATCATCATCGACCTTCATTTCGATGGAACGTTGGGCTGCGAACTTTATAAATAAACTGGTCCATGCCCAGGGCGAACGTCGTAACTCGGAGATGAATCTACCGGATAAGCATAGGGTGGACATCGTTCAATTGGCTCTCCATGGCAGCAATATATGTGCAGCTGTGGCCAATACCCACAGCACTCGTCCGTGCTTCAAGAAGATCGACACTTTGTGTGCCCGCCTCAAGCAGGATCTGTTGCGTGTGGATGGTGTGCTGGCCAACATTAATTCTCAGGGGATTGCCTGGGCTGTAAAGGATTTCATCTTCTTATTTACACGCATCATGAGTGCTTGGACCATACTGAAGAGCTATCTATACAACGATATGGATGGCATTAAGAAACTCATTGATATATTGCCAATGGGCTTTATGCAGGTCTTTAATACCTGGCAATTGGCCACCATACCAATGATTGATATGGTCATTCAAAGTATTGTTAACCTCGATGCGGGTGCGCGTCCCCAGGCATATAGCGGTAATGGCGGCGGCGGCGGCGATAATAGCCCTCCTGGTGGAAATCGTCGCTGTCATAGCCCCTCTGATGATGGCAATAGACATATCTCTCGAAGCCGTCATAGTCCTCCCAAGGGCAATCGAAGCCGACATAGCCCTTCGAATAGCAATCGAGGGCGTAATTTTCAGAGCGGGGATTCACCGTCATACTATGGCAGTGCCAACAGTCCACCTCGCCTGGATAAACCCCCCACTGTTGAGCAGGGAGCTGAGGCAGGAGCAGAGGCAGCTGCTCCGATTAACAAACCCAAGAGCTGTCAGAATCTCATTAATATGTACACGATGGTCGAAAACTCTGAGGAGACGCAGCGCCATGTCGATGCGAATGGAACTTATTTGAAGACTGGCACCTATCAGCCGCTGCAGAAGGAACCAAAGACGGAAATAAAACCAACCACGTCAGAATTTTTGATGCGCGTGCCACCAGGATTTATGCCAATGCCACATCTGCAGGGAAAGTCCAATGAAACGGTGGCCGAGGCCAAGCCCAAAGCCATGCAGGATTCGGCTGAAACTATGCGCCAGCAAAGTACCGTTCCTGAATACGCTCCTCATTTCCATGGATATGATGTTAATATGGACAAGACTTTGCCCATTTATTATATGATAAATGACAATGCTGAACGGCCCTCAAAGCCAATGCCAGATCTTCGTTCGGCTGTGAACGATGCTGCACCGGCCAACCTAAAAAATGCGGATGATACAGAAAAGCCCAAGCCCAATCCCCTGCTGGAAATCGATCCTTATGTGCCCTGCTATGGTCCTAGTCATTCGAGTCCACCATCGACACCTGAACTAGAGACCTGTGCGATGGAAAATGATGTTGCAGACACACCGTGGGAGGAAAATGCTATTCAGGAACTTTATCCTTCCCCGGAAGCAGTGCCAATGACTGATCCGGAGACTATAAAGAAAAGTGACGATAAAGTAGATGAAGTAGCGGAGAAAGAATTGGAACCACAGTATTTCGATAAGAACACCAAAGTCCATAGCCAGATGATGCTGGATCTTGAACCATATGCCTCAATGCTGGGCCTGGGACCCAATGTGGCGACCGACAGTATGATAAATATTAAGCAGTTTATGAATCTCTACAGTCCGATCAACACCGAGGTCACACGTGATCTAATCGCGCTAAAGGAGCGCGTCCTGGAACTTAAGAACGTGGCGCATTTCTTTCAAAAGCGGTTTATTCTGAACTATGTGAGTATTTGGCGTCATAACAAAAAAAAAAGCGTTCCGTTTAATATTAAATTCAAATATTGTTATTCTTTTGTAGTATCCGGATTTTTTTCGACAGTGTCACGGTGATTTCATTGATCTAAGAGAGATTATACTCAAGTGCGAGAGCGGAATGTATCATCATACCTATCAGGCTGTGCATGATCTACGACGTATTGTATTTGTGGCCCGTTGTTATCTGAAGGTACTAGTAAGATCCTACTATACCCAGAAGAATACTGTAACACTTGCACTACAATTCAATTCAAATCGTATTTGTAGTATTTCCATTTGAGTGTTATTTCCTTCTGCTGCTCCAGGAAGACAAACAAAACAATATGTTACGCGGTATCCCAAGGTATCAGTATGAGTTTTTGGCCCTTATATATGGACTAATGTACTAATCACTGGTCGCATTTGGGCACTAATTCTCATATAACACACTTAACCAGACCCCTGACTTTTCAGCTCCAGAATCTTCACTTTTAATTTTTAACATTTCAGTCGATACTATCTCTAACAATTCTCGCACTTTCTGCCAATATATTTTGCTAATATATTTCGTTTTTAACTAGGTATATATCAACAAAAGGCTTAGCGACTATGTCGACTCGTACGAGTCATCTGTGGGCGAAATGTTGTCCAAGCCACCGCATCAGCCGAATGAACATGATCATATTATTGGCGTACCAGGCGAGAAGGTCTTCAACTACGAGATATTGTAAGTGGGAGCGGGGAAAAACCAAAGCGCCGTTGAAAGTTATGAATTTTAGTTAAGCTTAGTTTATATTATTTTATTTTAATTTAGTTTTTGTGGTTTGTGGTTTTTTATTTGAAAAAAAGTAAATTAAAATTGCACAGTTATTTAAGTTAATTAATTCAAAATTTGAAAACAACAAAATTGCTTTAAAGCATGCCCAAATGTATACTGAAAATTTTCACTCTTTTATATTGCTTGTCAACGTTATAGTTTTTCAATTAAAACACGCATTTTACACTAAGGGTAAAATTATAAAATGTATAGAAAAATATATATTAATTATGCTAAGACACGCGTCCAAAGACCGTTAAAACAAAGAATATCGATGTGGATCGCGTGAATTCTGCACTCGCGCAACCATTCGTGCAGACCCTGTTTAAATATTTCTTTCAGAATTAATTTCAATTTAAAGGTTCGAATAATTCTTTTAAATTGTTGGGTGAAAAGTCCAAAAGAGTGCCATTGAAACTAAGTCATAAGCTAAAAAAACTAACACAGAGACTTGCTATTCCTGGATCAATATAAGGATCAACATGTCGCGTCACGAGGGCGTGACTGTACGCGATCCACCGCGCTTTTCTTTGATTTACCGACCGGAACAAAATTAAAAAAAAAACAACTTTAAACACTTAAAACACTAAAAACTAAAATTAAAGCGCAATAACATTTTTTGTATAACACCAACTATATAATCTGTAGGTTTTTTTGTTTTTTTGGCTTCTTTAATATAAATTAAAATTGTTAAATTCATATTTGGCTTAAATAAAATTAAGAAATAAAACAAGAAACAAAGTAAATGCATACAATTATTATTTTTATTGCCAAATGGTTTGGATAAAGGATTAATAGGGAAAGTCCCATACAAAAATCAAATTAATTTTTTGATTAAATAAATGCAGAAATAAGACAAAGCAAAATAGGATTGTTATTTTTAAGAGGAACTCGCTTACAATTTTTACCTTTTTTTTTGGCTTTTTTGACTACAAATATAATTTAAATATAATTAAAATTGTTAAATTGATATTTGGCTTAAATAAATTTAGAAATAAAACTAAAAACAAAATATAATTGTTATATTTGCAATCGGAACTCGTTGGTTTATGGCGATTCATGGTGAATCGTTTAAAACAAATTAAATATTAACTAAAACAATAATACAATCGAGAATTGTACAAGTAGTATCGACATATTTACAAGGATACCTAACATTAGCTAGTATCCTCACAATCGTTTTTCGTGTGTCCTAGTCCAGCCTAGTAAAATCCTCGGGACTGATGTCCTGGGCCACTAACATGCCATGGAAAATAGTCGCTGTATTATGGGCCAACTCCTGCGGTTTGCCCTCCTCACAGATCCTACCATCGTCTAGGACAATAATGCGATCCATGGCCTGCAGGCCACGCAACCGATGGGCTATAAACAGCAAAGTGCAGCTCTTGAAGGCATTGCGTAGCGCCTGCTGCATGCACAGATCGGATTCATCGTCCAAATTGGAGGTGCCCTCATCGATGCACACAACTTTGGCGTTCTTCAGCAATGCTCGAGCGAGACATAGAAGCTGCCGCTGTCCAGCAGATAAATTATTGCCGCACTGCTCTACGCGACCATCCAGGCCGCCCAGCTGTTGCACCAACAGCGTAGCCGCCGCCGAGTTTTTGACGGCATGCCAGATCTCCGAGTCATAGAAGCCATGACGGGGGTCCAGATTTTCCCGCACAGTTCCTGGAAACAAGAAAAAGATTCATTAGAAATTATAAAATGTTGCCAATATTTTGGACGCACCTTCGAAGAGGAAAGGCTCTTGGGTGATGACTCCTATTCTCTCCCGAAGTACACTCAACGGCAAAGTCTTTAGATTCACCTGATCCAGTCGTATCTCTCCCTGGGAGAGCGGTGCCACACGCAGCAGGGCAGCCAGAACAGACGTCTTGCCCGCACCAGTACGCCCCACAATGCCAATGCGCTCGAACGCCTCCGTATCGAAGCTGATGCCACGCAGGGCCGGTATCAGATGCTCCCTGTAGCTTAATTGAACCTCCTGAAAGCGGAGGACGCCCTGTGTGGGCCAGCCAAATGGAGGATCTGCACTGCCCGAGGCATTCTGTTCGCCCTCCAACTGCAGATACTGATCCACACGTTCGACGGCAACCAGTTCCTGCTCCGTTTCGGCCACAGCATGCAGCAGATCCCCCAGCTGTCCCGTAATCGAGAGAGCATAGGAGATACACAGCCCAACCAGACCGGGATTCGTTGCATGCGAGGCTGTAATGGCGGCTAGGAGACCCGCACCACCCACCAGCAGCGTGCCGAGCAACTGCATACGCAGGGCCAGCCACTGTTGAGCTGCTGACTGCGTCAATTGCGCCTTGATACTCTCCTCCAGCTTCACCTGGAAGTCCCTCTGAAAGCGAGGACTTGCCCTCATGCTCCTGATCGTTGTTAAACCCTGCAGCGTCTCCGTAAAGTGTGTGTAAAGCGGGGACATGGCATTGCTCGACAAACGCTTAATATCCCGCGAGGCATGGCGATAGCGTTGCTGCAGATTGAGGTAGATCGGTACCATCGGAATGATGACCAGACCCAGCCAGGGCATGGCATACAGACTGACACAGAGGGCACCCACCAGTCCCGCCAATTGTGCCAACAGAATGTTGAGTATAAAAGGGAGCGAATCGTCCACAGTGTTCGTATCGGAGGAGAAACGATTCAGGATGCGTCCCACGGAGGTAATGTCGAAAAAGTTGAACTTGGCCTAAGGGAGAATAACAATTAGAATACGCAATAGTGCTCCCTCTCGAGCAGATACTCACAAACATGACTTTCTTGAGGAGCTGTTCGTGCATGAAAATAGCCGCCTTGATGCCAGCATAGGCAAAGATGAAGGCCCTGGCCAGCGTGGCTAAAGAATTTGTCACCGCAATGGCCGTGAAGATGCCCAGATAGAAACCAGTGGTATGACCCGATGCCGAGTCGTTACCCAACAGATGCTCCAGCGATGTGTCATTCGAATGGGGATCCAGTGTGGTCTCTGTGACCCAATGCGCCAGCCAGGCATCACTCAGATTCCTGGTCATCTGCATGAGCAGCACAAAAAACAGAACAGCGAAGGCCAAGGGTGAGGTGACGGCACGCCAATAGCAGGCAAAAACATTGCTCGATAGATGCCCAAATTCCCGGGATTCCTCGATCAGCAGACTGTCTACGCTCCGATTGTCATCCTGATTGGATATCTCCACGGAACGGCGACGCACTGGCTGATCCGCATCGTCTTCGTCCACATCCTCTTCGCTGAGATCAATGCTTTGTGTCATGTATTCACTGGGTCCCAGCTGGCCATCCTTCACCTGCAGTATCTGATTGGCATGGAAGAACAGGGGCACACTACGCGTGACCACAATCCGGGTCTTGTGCTTCAGCAAACGGAGTATACAATGCTTGATAATGTGCCTGGCCACATGGGCATCCAGCGAGGAGAGTACATCATCCAGCAGATAAACTGAAATCAAAAAAGGATTAGCAAACAAAAACAGAAAAGAACCAGAGCCTGGCTCTAAACCCTCTCACTTTTCTTATCCTGATAAACGGCTCTGGCCAAAGCAACTCGGGCACGTTGGCCTCCGGACAAAGTTCTACCATTCTCGCCCACGCCAACAAGATCCCCGCCCAAGATCTGCAGATCCTCCTCCAGGGCGCAGGCGTAGAGGACACTCTTGTACCATTGCTCGTCGAAATGGGCGCCCCACACGATGTTGTCGCGTATGGTGCCACGCTGCAGCCAAGGCGACTGTGGTACATAGCCAAAGCCAGTGGTTAGCTCCTGGACACAGACCTCGCCATCGGTGCATTGGAGACCGGCCACAATGGCCGAGAGGAAGGTGCTCTTGCCCCCACCAATAGGTCCCTCGATGCAAATGAGCTGTCCCGCTTTGAAGTCCACATTAATATCCTTAAGGCGAAAGGGTATGGCAACAGTGGGTGCTTCTCTCTCCTGGCTGTCGTGGGTGAACGTGGCGCCCTTCATCTGCAGCACACTGGTCTTTGGTGCATTCAGAGAAGTGTTCTCCCCGCCGCTTCCACGCATTATGGGATTGTAGTAGCTGGAATAATCCAAATTGGGTACGTCCATCAGCTGTTGCACGCGTCGGATGGATACCCAAGCCTCGATGAGACCATTGAGTACCCAGGGAAAGGCATTTAGTGGTCCAATGAGCATATAAAGCAGCGCCACACTCGTGTAGGTCGTCGAGGCCACCAGTTTATTGCCCATCAGGACAGACACACCGAAGGTGAGCAGGCACATCAACACCGGTGTCGTAGCCCAGAAATACACGCACATGGCATCCAGATACTTCCGCTTCGATAGAAATCTCAGTTCCTCCTGCCTTAGGCCACGTATCTTCGTGATAAATATATCCTCCCAGGCATTGATTTTGATCTGTTTTGCTCCTTGCATGGTCTCTGTGGTGGCCGACAGCCTGGCATCCTTGGCCGTCATCAGGCCACTCGAATAGATGCCAATCCGTTTGGCCAGCCAGCGATTAATAGGTATCAGCATGGCGGCAAAGAGCACACCCGCCAGAAAGGCGGCGCCCAGCTGCAGATACAGTAGATACAGTGTCGTAAACAGCTTGAAGGGTATGCTCCAGAAGAAGTGAAAGCTAATGCAAGAGTTTACAATGCGATCTGTGTCCGTGGACATTAGATTCAGCATATCCGGCTTGCTTTCCTTGATGCCACGGGCCTCCAGCGCCTTCCGGTAGATACTGTTGACCACGCCCACCCGCATCTTCATCGACACCATGGCCATGCGCCAATCAAAGTGTGTGGAGCACAAGGCGGACAGCAGAGTGCTGCCAAACAGCCCCAGAGCATAGTAGTAGGCCTGCGACGAATCCGAGTCCGTGTCCTGGCCCTGCCGCAGGAGTCCGCCCAGCAGCAGGGGACCCGCAAAGCCACTCAAATCGGCCACAAGTCGCAGGAGTCCAATGAGGTAAAACTCCAAACCAAAGCACTTGTGCAGGGCACGCCAGAGGCTCTGGGACTGCGAGAGAGCCAGGTGCAGGCGCTCGCTCAATCGCGTGATATTCAAGGCATCCGGGAGATCAAAGAGATCCTCAATCTTTCGCAGCTTTCCGGCCACTCCTTTGGCAATCAGAGGATGCACCCAATGAAAGAGGAAGCGCGACGCCCAGTTGGCCTCATCCTGGGCATGCCCCAAGTGAGCTTCATTCATGTCGAAATGAAAGTAAGTATAGCGATTGGAGAGCAAGGCTTCATCTTCTCTGCTCGCACCGCCACGTGGCTGACTGGAGTACACTGCTGAGCCCGTGGGCAGCAGCGTGGCCCCATAGAGAAGATCACATAGTAGAGTTGCCAGGCTCCAGGGCCACCAGTCGAAATGCCGACTGGTGCGCAGCCAGACGCCATCCAAAACGACAATCGTCAGCCAGACAACATTGGTGAGGAGAGTGCCGCGATGACTAATGTCGCCAGAGTGTCGAGCCGTCAGCAGGAAACCTACAGAAGCAAAAAAAAGAAATGCTGCGGTCAAAACGATCACAAATAGCAGCTGCTCCTCCTCCCTCTTACCGCTGTGTACCACCCACATAATGCATTCGGCGGCAACCACCAGAGTGTCGACCGCATAGAGTGGAATGCCCTCGCGATGGAATACAAATATCTTGGCTACGGGTAGCAGAGCCAGCACAATGCTGAGTATTGTGCGGCATGACAATAGCCGGAGTTGCGTCTTATTCCGTACGACTTGTCGCGTCTGATTGCCGAAATTGTAGGCGGATATGGCCGCAAATATATAATAGATGGGCAGCTGGAGCAATATCTTCTGGAAGCAGGGCAGCAGATCGTTTGTATCGTTAGCAAACGGTTTCAGACCCGTCGGACAGAATTCTGTCCAGTTCCAGGAGAAACTCTTCCAATCAATATCCGACATTCTGATCGAACGGACGGTGGTTTCCGCTTAGTTGTACGCTTTGGCGCCGTTCTGATTCTAATTAGTCATCACCGTATTGCATATTTGCACCACTAATCGTTGTTAAACAAAGCGCGGGGCGAGCTGATAAAAGCAACTAGGGGGAAGGAACCATCGTAAAAATACAGGCCGCTTTATTTTTATTGGCGTGCTGCCAACTTGAGGGGGAATCGGAATATCCCTGTGAATGGCAATTGGCAGTAGAAAGAAGCAGCATTTGTTTACAATTATTTGTGCAATAAATATGACCACAGGCGATGGAGTGGACGATTCTGGGGCTCAGGGCAATGGCACTGGCGCCCAGAAAGCCTCCTTGCCCAGCCAACTCATGGACATATTCAAGTCACTGGCTGAAAATGACAAGATCATCTTCAAGTCGCAGCAAATCGATGATCCGGAACTGCCCTTCGTCGAAAAGCAGCAAATCGCCCAAGAATCATTCGAGAAGAACCGCGAGAACTTTCTCATACGCTTTGGCAGCTTCCTGAATGCCAGCCAATTGAGCAGTTTCCAGTCCCTGGCCATTCGGGAGCCCATTAAAGCGGAGGAAAACCTTGAGGAGATGTGCCTGCTCCTGGAGGACTTCAAACGAAAGCTGAACACTCGCACCGTCTGTGTGAAGAATCGACGCTATCAGGCCTTGCAACAGCTCTTACAGAAAGGGGAATACTTCAGCGAGCACGAGATGATGCAGCGGGCACCGGATCTCTATCAGGAATTGGTCGGCCAATACCTCACGGAGAAAGAAAAGAAGGCGAGGGACAGCTATGATGTGAGGAACACCAGCTTTTCGGGCATACTAATGCACACGCTGGAGAAGAAGCAACGCGATGAATTGCTGGAGGGAACACAGCTACAGACAGCCATGGAAGAGGAGGAACAAAAGCCACAGGAGCGGCAGGAAGATGAAGAACCTGTGGTGGCTTCGTCCAGCAGTCGCAGGACATCTGAGGCTCGAGTTGAGCCACAGATATCCGAGGTTCATGCATCCCCAGAAGAGGAGGAGGAAGAGGAGCTCCCGCCAGTTGTGTGTGAGGATTTTGAAGTGCCTGCCGCTTGCCGCCGTCAATGGGGTGAATTCGAAGAAGATGCCCCCATTGCCTGCTCCACCAGTCAAAACGTGGTGCCGCCAGCTACACTAAAAGTAACAAAAATCTCCACTCCGGAATACTACAATCCTGGGGAGCGTGAACTGCTGCGCAACGAGTTCTTAAGCATGATGAAGGAACGCTTTCTCAGCGGCGAGGATAAAGACTTTGATTACACAGCAGTGGACGATGATTCTACGTTAGATGATCTAAAACTAATCGAACAAGACGAGGAAGATGCGTATTTCGAGCCCAGCGATGAAGAGGTGGAGCAGCCAGTGGACAAGCCAGACGAAGCATCCTCCAGCGAAGACGAATTAGACGTTTATATGAGGCATCTGAACAACCACCACAGTCTGCAGCAGCATTAGTCTTTAATTTTAGATCTTAAAAACTAGAAATACATGCAATTTGAGTAATTTAGCGACTCCTACTGTCTTTGCTACTATCTTGGTCTGCCACGGCCACGTGGAAAACCGCGTCCACGACCACGCAACACCTTGCTATTCGGCGGCGGACTCTTGGGCCGCAAGAGCTCAATGCGACTGGTGCAACCGGTGGCTGGGGCCTCGGCAAAGTAAGTTTGATACGTTTCCGCATTGAAATTGGAGTTTGTTAGTTCCGGTCCCACCGTAAGCCAGCCCGGCCTGATGCTCGAATCTCTACCAAACACATGCAAACGCCTGCGGCCCAGACAAAAGTGCTCGATGATGTGAAAGATCTCGATGGGCTTCTCGAAACTGCCAAATTCCTCTTCCTCGGATATAATCAGATCTATGTCGACATTGGCATGGATAAAATCCCCATCGGTGGAGCGTCGTACAGTGCCCTTGATGCCCATCAGGCAGTGTTCCTTGGTGCGTTGAAAGACGGCCTTCGGCTCCAGTTGCTTGGAATGTCCGGGCTTGCTGATGTTTGTGCGTATCCAGCAGATGTCCTCGCACCGGCGAAAGCCCCATTTCTTCAGGCAATTACGACCCATGTCCAGGCCTTCGGAAGAGCCACACCAGAGAAAGACAAACGAACGATGAGCGGCGATTTCACCCACATCCAAATCTGCAAGAGGAAAACCTTTACCAAAGACCACTTATGGTTGCTACACTCTTTTCACTTACTGAGTATTTCATCCCAATTCCAGAAGACACGCGGTGCACCACCGACAGTGGCCACAGCAGGCGCTGCCCGTGCATATTCTTCTAGCGGCGGCTCAATAAGGATCACATCAAATTTGGCACCCAATGACTTTACATCCAGTGTCTTTAGGTCCGCCTTCAAGTACATCGGAGCCGAGGCCGTATCCTGGATGAGCTTGTCCTTTAGTTTAATCAATTCCCTCAGTTTCGGGTACTCCTCGAAGCGATCTTTCAGCCCAACGTCGCGTATAAAGTTCTGCGGCCTTTGGCCCGTGTCCACAAAATGCTGGCAGTAGTCATTGTGCGGATTGGAGGATTGTGTGCCCTTTAGAAATGTGGATGAGTCCCTATAAATAGTTTCGCTGGGTGCATTTTTTGATGAGGAAGCGCCTCCATCCTCCTCGTCACGTTGACCGCCGGCGCTGAGCTGACGGCTGCTGTTGGTGTCCTCTGAATTGCCCAGGACCTTCTTCAATTCATCCACACTGGACAAACCAAGCTGTAGGGGTACATAAAAAATTTAATTTATAGTGCATTTTTTTCAAGTTAATTTTAGCTTACAGTTTGGGCCAGAAGTAGCCGGCGTTTGCGGGAGCGCTCTTGGGAGCTCTTCAGGACATCGCTCATGATTATGAATACGAGTAAATAGCTTAATATATAGTTAATATAGACAAAAACTTTTAACTTAAAATAAGGGACAAAAAAAATTTGCCGTCGCTTTGTCGACTATCGATTATTGATCAATTTGACGGTCACAGCGAATGTCCACATATATCCAAGCAGGTTGGCAGCGCCGCAGAACAGTGGCCATTCACAATCAGCTGCATGCGTCGCCGGAAAAAATATTTTTTATTAAAACGTTTTTACTGTGATTTTGCTTATAAATAGTGCAAATTGTTAACGTAATTTACTGGCATAATGAGGCTGGTGCGCAACACGCTGCTGGGCGCACTAGTCGTGCTCGCCGTCTGCCTGATCTATGCAGCCGCACAGGCAAAACCAAAGGTTTGTTTGTGGCCACGTCACTTTCGGCCTGGGTTCTGAGTCCCTAAGAATCTAGTCCGGAGTTGGGGGTGCCGTGCCGTGCCGGCAAGCACTAATCCAAAGAGATAAACATTATGGGCGTTCTTTATACTTGCAGACGGGCCTCTCTTTATCGGAAAAAGTACAAAACCTTGTGGAAATGAATGCTAAGAAGCCTCTGCTGCGTTTCAATGGACCCAAATTCCGGGAATATGTGAAAAATTCTCCACGAAACTATTCAATGATTGTGATGCTTACGGCGCTGGCGCCGTCACGTCAATGCCAGATATGTCGTCATGCCCACGACGAGTTTGCAATTGTCGCCAACTCCTACCGCTTCTCCTCGGTCTATTCCAACAAACTATTCTTTGCCATGGTAGACTTTGATGAGGGCTCCGAGGTGTTCCAATTGCTGCGCCTGAACACTGCCCCTGTGTTCATGCATTTCCCTGCCAAAGGAAAGCCCAAGGGTGCCGACACCATGGACATACACCGTGTGGGATTTGCAGCCGATTCGATAGCCAAATTTGTGGCCGAACGTGTGGATGTGACCATACGAATTTTCCGTCCACCCAACTATTCGGGAACTGTGGCAATGATCACGCTGGTGGCACTGGTGGGCAGCTTTTTGTACATACGCCGTAATAATCTGGAATTCCTGTACAACAAGAACCTGTGGGGCGCCATTGCTGTGTTCTTTTGCTTTGCCATGATTTCCGGTCAAATGTGGAATCACATTCGTGGCCCCCCATTGGTTCACAAGTCACAGAATGGTGGCGTCGCCTACATACACGGCTCATCGCAGGGACAACTGGTGGTGGAGACATACATTGTCATGTTTCTGAGTAAGATTTATATATATATATTTGTATGTATTATATGTATTTTAATGTATTGTTTTTGAATTCGCAGATGCCATGATTGTCTTGGGTATGATATTGCTCATTGAATCGGGTACGTCAAAGGGTCATAATAAAAACAGAATAATGGCCATGGTTGGTTTAGTTCTTGTGACAGTATTCTTCTCCTTTTTACTGTCTGTGTTCCGCTCCAAGGCGCAAGGTTATCCCTATAGGTAAGTGTTCCTCCCAGAACGATTTCCACTGACTAAGACATTAATTTCTCCATTTTTTTCTTTCAGTTTCTTGTTCAAATAGAATCGACTGCGCAATGTCCCTGTTTCCCCGCCCGTACATTACATAGTTTTGTAGTTAAAAATCTGAGTAAACGAAGCACCGATTTTGTGCGTGTGTGTAAAAAACGACTTTAATAAATTCCACTACTAAATTATTTGTACAATAAACGGATTTGATCACAGCAGATAGGGAAGAATGGCACGCCGCCGCTTGGGATAATCCTTAAAAGTCTCCTTGTACCATTGATGGGTGAGCAGAGCGTTGATCGTTTGATTGCTGGCCACCCAAAGGAACACCAGCTTCCAGGTGCGCACTGGCGTGAACAGATCCGCCAGACAGAAGTACATGACCACCTCAAAGAACATGTGTGGGGAGGATAACAGATTGAACCACCCGCCCTTGGGCAGCAAATGCTGTTCTGTCTTCACGGCACCCGTTTTGGCATCTTTCCGTAGGTTTACCAATATCATATTACTCGAGTACTGCTGATGCCAGGCGAACATAAACACCAAAAAGTAGATGATTTGTATTTGGGACAAGTTCTTGGGCGTAAACTCCGTGGGCTGCGATCCGCGCACAAAACCGGCCGTGTTGGACAGCAGCGAGACAATGGCCCCAAAGTAGTGTACATAGCCAACGGCATAGTGCGACAGGTTCATTTTGCTGTGCTTCGAGAAGATTTGCACAAAATTCGTCTCGTAGAAGCGGCGAATGCACTGCAATGTGAGCAGAACTGTACCCAGCAGAGCCGTCGTAGAGTCCACTTGTACCTTCCGATTGGTGGCACCGCCGCACACCAGATCCAGAAAGCGGAGAGCATATTCCGGCGCCGCAGATTGGCTGGCAATGGAGCTGACTATCAAATACAGCGCCAGCAGGGACCAACCAAAGGCAAAGATGTAGAAATGCTTGAACCAGCCTTTGGGAACCTCCAAATAACTGACCAGCGCATCGGCTTCACCCTTGTGCCTGTGCTTGCCATAACGAAACGACTGGCGTATACTATTCGGCAAATGTGACTCCACAAGGGTCATCAAACTTCCAAAGAACACGATGGTTGTGATGAAGATGCAGAATACCAGTTGTGTGAGGTTTACGTTGTACTGATCGATGAGCTCCTCGAGGGAGCTGATTATGGCGAGCACCATTGCGAAGTTTCAGATTGTTCTTATGTAAAAACTATATTCAAATGCCAGAAACTTTCTCTCAGCTTTCATTATCAGCACTCTAGAAAACAGAAAACTGGCGGCGAAAGCTGTTCCCTGTGAATGGCAATTACATACTGCTTAACCAGGAATCGATAACAGGTAGGACCGCGCTTTTTAAAAATCAATTATTTATTTATTGCCACTATTCAAAACTGCAAAACTATTTTCGGTTATATGTGTATATGCTATGCTACTACAAATGTATATAAATTGATTAATACGATATGGTTGATTTGTGTGTTTCCGGTAGGTATATGTATGTTAAGCGATTGATTAACCTGCAATATTGCTTTTGTTGTATTGTGGATCAGTATCTTGTAATAAAGCGCTTTTCTTTTTGTTAACAATAGAGCACTCTCGGCGACATTTGTCATATGTCCACGCCATTGCGCCCCAAAGTGCCGCCAGTGTAAGGCGGCGGCTTAGGACGAGGATAAATGCTAGAGGCGGCGCCACAGTCTAGCTGATAAAAGCTGTTGCTGGGACTGTAATAAATACAATTGTGAATAAGAGAGTTATACAAATAATTGTTGGTGTACCTCTGAGAACGCATGCTGGTATTGTCCAAAAGAAAATTGGGGTCTTTAAGGCTTTTTAAGGTAGTAAGAGGCTGATCCGCACACTTGACCATCTGCACCGTGGAGGATATGGGAGATTCAAAGAAAACCGAGCTGAAAGTAAGTCAAAAGAGTGGTTAAATTATTGGCTTAAAATGGTCCTAGATATTAAAATGAAAACACATAAATTCGAATATCACCTTTCGGATTCATGATCCGTCTCAGAATCGCTTGGCGCTTGCGCACAAGACTCTTCGCAGATGTGAAAAATGTTTGCAAAGAAAAACTCAGAGTGCGGATCGGAACTAAAGACCAAAAAGGGAAACAAAAATAATAAAAATCCCATCAATTTTTGGCTCATCCGTTCAGACTCACAATTTTTGGTGCTGAAAGCATAGGACCGCCGAGAGCATGCCTATTAGGATGGCAAATATCATGCCGGGTATGGCAAAGGCAAAGGCAAACTCATCGATGTAGTTCCGACGGGGCACATCCTCACGCGTGATGCCCATCCAGCGATCGTTGTGCAACTGCTCGTCACCACTTGGCTGCTGCTCGTTCTGCTGCTTGCCGCTGTGGTAGAGTATCTCCGTGGGCGACTCCAAGCCGACCATCTTAAAGGCGCACCAATCCAGCTTGAAGCCCACGTTCTCAAAGATCTTCTGCACCGAAGTGCGCTTGTATGTGCACGACGGCAGCTTATACAGCGGACGCACTTCCTCTTGGAGCTCCTTCAGGCGCGGCGAGAACTGAGCCACGCTGCCCACATGGACAATGACTCTGGAAAGAAGGCTCTCGATATCATTTCTTGGATAGATAGATATATTTTTCAGCGGCTCACCCCTCACGCTGCTGTGGACGCAGCGGCAGGCGTCCGCCCATATTGACGGCCGATTCCATGAACACAACACTGAGATCCTCCTTGCTGCTAGGCCACAGATCCTTGCGGAAGATGTTACGCAAGTTTTCCACTCGTCCCGGGTCCATGAGATGCACCCAATTGAGATTATCGATCTTCATTTGCACAACATTCGGTGTGGGAAACTTCTGGCACACAGACATGGCCAAGTCCGTGATGCGTGTCTCAAAATTCTGACGATTCAAGGCAATCACCTCGATGCTGAGGGCCTTGCCCGCCTCCGTTTCCGGCGGAGTGCCGTAGAGAAAACCCGCATGATACTCGTGGCTGTACTCGTACCTCATCCAGGTGGGCAGATCCGGATAGTTACGCATTGTCGGGCGATAGCTGAATTGTTCGCTGATTACCTGGTGCGTCCAATTGAACAAATGCGGTTCAATTTTGTACGTAAAAAGTTCACCCACATTTGCCTGCAACGTGCCGCCGGCTGCTCCATTGCAGAGGCAAAGGCAGGCCAATGCAGCAACGATTAGGAGTAATAACTGCATTTTAGGGGGTGTCACCGATTCACATTGACATTTTAATTGACCATAAACAAAATTGGTGGCCTCTAGTTGCGATGAAAAATTCCCATGGTGTGTATCTGGCCGGGAGAGGCAGAGGAACCTCACCTTCTCTCGTGCTCTTCAAAAGAGAGCGCAGGCGCATTTTGTGTGTTGCGTGGGTGGAAACTAAAAGACCTGTTGAGTGCGTGTCTCTCTTAGGAACCATATCATATAACTTTGTATATTATTATTAAAATTATTAATGTTGTGGAAGATTTGAACTCCAAAAACGGTTTACAGTCTGCCAGCGAATTTCCATGGCACTTCAGTATTTTTCTGGTATATATTGTTAATGTTCAGCCCCACTTAGAGATGTGCAGTGTTCGCGATAGGTGTGAACTGCATTGCATTTGAAGCATACAATAGCAAATCAAATAGATATGAATTAAAAAAATAACCTGTTGCTTGATAACTAATTTTTTAACAGTAAAAAGAAACCTTCTAATAGTAAACATAATCCACATAAACCAACATTGTAAACGATAGTTTTTATCAGTCATTGGCTCATCTCTAAGCTGTTTTATCAGCTGCAAAATTCGGCAACAAAATTCCAAGAAAAAATACGTGGCTTGCGCGTTTTTTATCTCGCACAAACTGGAGAAGTAATGTTGTCTGCTAACAGGTAGCCCCAATCAAACCACAATGTGTCCCTGTCTGCTCCAGTTATTATTTTATCTGCTTGCGACAGCAGTCGCGACGGGCTTTGTGGTATGCCAACGAACACGCACACACACCCAGGTGGAAAAAGTCTTCATATTTCTTTGATTTGTACAGATTGTGGCTGTGGTGCTGTATAAAACAAAACCCTATCCGAATATAGTGAGACACTCGGATGAGAAGTCCTTTTTGGATCCGCAGAGCATACAAACGGTGGCCTTTCCCAGCATTGAGGATGCCCCAACATTGGAGCTGAGCGTGATTGTGCCGGCCTACAATGAGGAGAAGCGTTGTATGTTGTTAATTGCCTTTCATGATGAATGACCGCAATGGGAGCTCCTCAGCATGAGTAATCATCACATGATTTGTCGTACATTTGTAGTGCCTTCCATGTTGGATGAGTGCCTGGCCTTCCTCGAGGAGAAATCAAAAGGTAAATCCAGTTTCAATTACGAGGTGATTGTCGTCAGTGATGGTAGTGCCGATGCCACTGTTTCTGTGGCCCTGCGCTATGCCAAGAAGCACGGAGCCGACAAAGTTCGTGTCATGGAGCTCGTGGAGAATCGTGGCAAGGGTGGAGCCGTCCGTATGGGCGTTCTAAGTGCCCGAGGGCGGCAGTTGCTCTTTGCCGATGCGGATGGTGCTACCAAATTCGCAGACTACGACAAGCTAGAGGAATCTTTGTCCAGCCTGGCGTCAGATTGGCGACACGATGGCATAGCCATTGGTTCTAGGGCTCATCTAGAGGATGATGCTATTGCCAGTCGCAGTTTTTTCCGGTAAGCAGGAAAACAATTTGAAAATTAATCTTATTCTTAATGAAAAATCCTCTGCTTCCAGCACCATCCTGATGCATGGTTTCCACACACTCGTCTGGCTCTTTGCCGTGCGCTCTGTACGCGACACCCAGTGCGGCTTTAAGCTATTTACACGATCCACGGCCCGAAAACTATTTACCAGCCTCCATGTCCAACGCTGGGCCTTCGATGTGGAGCTGCTGTATCTCGCCGAGCGGCTGAAACTGCCCATGTCCGAGGTGGCTGTGCGCTGGACAGAGATTGATGGTTCGAAACTGACGCCATTCTGGTCGTGGCTGCAGATGGGTAGCGATCTGGGCATGATCTGGCTGCGGTATACGGTGGGCGCCTGGCGCATTGCTGCCATCGAGAAGAAGGAAAACTGAAATCCATTCTCCCACACGCATTTTGAATCGAAATTTCTGCTATTTCCTGCTTAATGAAAGCTCGTATATCTATTTTTGTAGGCCTCGTAAAAAAGGTATAATAAATATGTAAGCACACAGTATTTTGTGAAAATAAGAAATCTTCAACCTTAATTGAGTTGGCGCCTTCATTTCAAGATCTGTTATCGTTGTGCAGTATTTTAGTAAGTTTCGGTATTTTTAGTAAAAAGTAACTATTTATATCGTATATCGATCGCTGGCTGCAAAAATCAACAGGATCTACATGCGTAGTTACCATGTAGTTGCCATGTAAACATTATTTTTTCTTACCTTTTTTTAATCCCAATTTTATAAAGAATCCACTAAAAGGGAGTAGTTCAAGCTAGCCAGTCTTGTAGCGAAATTGATTTATTAATCGGATAAAACTATGTGTTCAGAGCTGAGGGTCCTAGTTAGCTAGTAACATTAGACAGAATATCAAAATCGAGTAATATGATTTTCGATCGATTAGCCCTTTGTTGACCAGCTGCTATGTAAATAAGCCACTGAAACGGATGAAGAAGACTATTAGCACAGTTCAGTTAAAAGATATTGTGGTCTTTTTTGAATGAAAAGATGAAGGATAGGATGGATATACCAGAAGAATTATTAATTTCCGTGGCTGAACTCAAGTTGTAGTTCTGTTTAAAAAAAGGGCGCTTGAGTGGGCTAAGTTCGTGTTGTCGGTCACACTGCGGCTGAAGGTTGCGTCGGCGCCGTTTCCTTCGGGTTTGATAGCGATTTTTGCTTTAAATTCAAAACAAGAGATTGCTGGAAATGTTTATAAAAGATTAAGCTAATCCGTGAATGCAACGCTATCAAGCAACATATATAGGATATTCTCCGCTGCGTCGCCGCCTGTTGCTCATTGCATGTGTCTGTGTATGTGTGTGTGTGATGGATGTGTGCGTGTCACAGCTGTGCCTTCGATATTGTTTATAATTTTTTTGCCTCCATATCCCACAGGCGGTAAGTATGCAAATGCATGCTGAACAATCCGGTCGGTTGCCGTTTCCACTAGTCGTCGTCGTCTCGCGCGTTTTGTTCGCCGCGTAAACGAAAGTGATTTTTGCCGGCTGTTCCGGGGGCCGCCGCCACCGTCGCGCGTTTCGATCGGGTCATTGCTTCAAATTGCTCAATCAACGGCACTTGTGGTAAGTTGTTGGCACAGTTATCACAAGTTCCCTCTCCCACATTCTCTCTCTCTCTTTTCTGTAATATCAAATTTCGTCTTTTGTTCTTTGTTTTATCAGCACAAATTGTTTTTATAGTCGCAAGAGCTGCGCTTTAAAATTTCCGAATCCACTTGCTTTCTCTGTTCTTTGCCGATAAGCCCTCTCTAACAAGAATTTTTTCTGATCGGATTGGGTTTCTGTTTCAAATTGGAATTCGTTTGCCAGCTGCACATTTGCCAATTTCATATTTTAGAATAATAAACAGTATGAAAGTCATTCGCAAAAAGAAGCGAAAACCCACGGCCCTGCCACCATTTGCGTGGCGAAATTCAAAGTCACAAAAAACAAAAACGAGTTGCCAGGCCACGCCCGCTATAGAGCTCTGTAGAGCTTCAGCTCTTGTCTCCTGTCTCCTGTCCCTGTCTCGCTCCCCCTCCCGGAAGATTTATGTACATTTTGCGCCTTCTGCCATCCTTTTTTTTTATTACTTATGCCAATGCGCGTCGCGCTCAAGACCCCGCTCTCTTTGCAGCGACGGCTCTGCCTGATTAAAGTGCTTGAGGATGAGTGTGTGTGTGTGTTCAGGGGCAGGGGTGTGGGATAGGAGTAGGTGGCTGAGAGCAGATCTACAACAACAGTGCGGGCGTCCTCTTTGTGATTGTTGTTGTTGTTGCTAGCGCATTTTTCGCTTTTGTCTTGTTGCCTTTCGCTGGATGCAGATGCAGACGTGTCTGTTCTTGTACTGTTTTGTTGTGTGCGCAGTAGCGGATTCTATTTTATGAGGGCGTGATTGGAGATATTCTTTTTGGAGGCAGTGGCAGGGCGCTCCTGTTCTTGTTATCTTTTGCGAACAGTAGAAGAGGGAACCTCCCTAAAACCCTCTTATTGGTGCATTCCGCTCCTGTTGTGCAGTAGCGTAAGGGCTTTGCTTTCGATCAGTGATCTCCCCTGGAGGCCACTCCGCTCCTGGTGCTTGCTGGCGTTTTTGTTGAAGTGTGATAATTCCAGAGAGTGCGCGCATTGCTGTTGTTACCTCTCTCTGTTTGTCCTCTTACACGCTTCGTTTCTCCACAAGGAAGGAAGAGAGGATCAGGGTAATCCTTTAATCTGTTTTGTACAACTGGTTCGGTTCAAGGTCATTCGCTGCGATGAACATTGTCGTCCGCTCGGGGGCTAATTAATTGTCCATTTAATCGTTCGATTTACTGCCTGACTTGTAGACGAAGACTTGTCTCTCGTCCATAGCGATTCCCTCTGTAGTGTTTCTGAGAGGCCTCTTTCATTCTGATTGATGTCAGAACGCCGGAACGCCCACGGCAATTAGTCAGCGGCGGAGGTAACTCCCAATGTTCCACGGTCAATGGCACCACCACTTGGGGCACCACCACCACACACAACATTCGCACGCCCACGCCCCCTTTGAACAGATTTATGGCCTTGTCCCCTAGTGTTGTAACAATTTTTTTCTGGTGTCTTCTTCTAAGATTTAACAAAAATAAAACATTTTCATTAGCATGATATTTTGGTTGCCATAATATTTTTGTTCTTTTCCAGACCATCATCGGCATCATCATCATCTCTCGTTATGATGATGAGCACTAAGATGCAGCGGAATGCCCATAACCATGGCAGCATCAAGTCTTCAGCCTCCCTCCGCTCCAGCAGCAAATCCTTTCAGGCCAAAATGGACAAAATGTCGGAGCGGCTGTACGATGTTGTCAAGAGCGGCTCCATGGTGAAGCGGGCACAAAACAAGAAGCGTTTCACGCCGGTCAACTATAAACATCGTTGGTTTGAGCTTACCAAGCGGACACTCTGCTATTTCGATGTGGAGAATGTGGAGGTGAGTGCTCTGATGGAGATTTAATCGATTTCAAATCGATTTAAAATCGATCACATTGATAATTAATCGATAAACTACAATCCCAAATCTATGTAAACGATTATCGCAAAATAATTATTATCATAAACCTTCTTCCGATCACAAA